ACCAAAATTGGTCTCATGGTCATAAAATGCTTAGTGGTGGGTCCCACTATTAAGAAAAATCCCACCCATTTGAATTTTCTACCACCACATATATATGTATAAACATAATTTACTACAACCATACATTTAAGCATACCACCATATAAAATTATGTACAAAATGAATAAACATGATATGCAATGGACCCAAGACATAACTCCCGTACACAACAATTCAGGTAACGAGTCCAACTCGGGACCGTTCGGCCCGAAAAATTGAAAAATGCTGAAATGATAACCCTTACATTTCAAAGAGTCCTGAACTCAATGAAATACCCCAATCAACTCTCGGACACAACCGGCACATTCTACGGTGTCCAGTACGCAAAACGAGAAAAGACGAAAATGCCCCTGAAAAATTAGAAAATTCCCAAAAATGAAAAATAGTTAAAAACAAAAACATCACATATATATTTTAACTCGACAATAACTCTTCATGAAAGAAAAAATGTTTAAAATAAAAAGTGTTTGAATTTAAAATAAACTTTTTTGTAAAAGAAGACACTTGGTAAGTAAAGTATGTAAAACATAAGAGGTGACTGGAATTTATTTTTCGTATTAGAAATCTATCTATCTAAAGGTATAAAAGTGTATTGTCAAGGAATATCAAAACGCGTTGAAATTTGTTATATTGAGAAAATTATTTAAAAAATACAATATATACAAAATAATTTAAATAAAGAATAGATGTATTTTAATTGGATGTTATCTAAAATAGAGATATTCTTTATAGGCATTTGAATTTAAAAGAAACTCTTTATGAAAGCAGGCTACATGGTAAATAGAATATATACATTATTTATTTTATAATAGGAGGTGTTGGAGTTTTTTTTCACTCCGAGGTGTTAGTGTTTTATTTTATTTTATTTTAATTTGTCATTGGCAAGAAGGTGTTAGTAGTTAAGACGGTAACTTTTGAAGTGTTTTATTTTTATAGTTGAAATTCAAATGTGTAAATGTGTATTGGTGAGGAATATAAAAAACGTTGAAGTGCTAAAAGGTGTAACGTTTAGGAATCAAAATGGTGTATAATGTAAATTGAAAACTATGTGTGTGTATATATAATTCAAAAAATATTTATTATTTTAGGATAGAGAATATATTTATTATTTTAGGATAGAGAATGCAGTTAGAAGTTGTCAGTTACAATAGTTTTATTATTATTATTATTATTATTATTTGAAAAGTCAAGTTTCTTGAAAAAACATATATTTAAAGTTGTGTTTCCTTTTTAAACTAAAAAAAAAAAAAATAGTGTATATAAAAAATACAAAATGAATCCCCTTTTATAAGAGTTATAAATATATTAAACTGATTGAACTAAATACCATTTTATTCTAAATGTAACTTTAAAGTGTTTCTTTATTTCTCAGCATTCTTATCGTAAATCTCCACCGAACATACTTCCAAAAATCTCTTCCAAATATAAAGACATTATATAACGGAATCATAAATACTTTGGAAAGAATTAAGCAAAGTAGAGAACGTATATGAAAGAACAACATTTCCTAGAGAATTAAACAAGAAATGAATACAGAATTAGACAGAAAATCAACATGAAAAAATAAACACATTATATATGCAAATAAGATATAAAGAGGCCAAAACACTTTGTTATAACATAATATAAATAGTACAAATAAAATATTATAAAATAATAATAATCCAGTAAAATATCAATTAATAAAAGCATATTAGAATAAGAGAGAGTAAGAAACTTATTTCTGGCCTCTTGGAGAGTCAGGAGACTCAGGACAATTGTCACGTTGAATAACATTTATCAAGTCTTTCATTGACATGTTGCTCATAAATTCAATATATATATATATATATATATATATATATATATATATATAATGATATAGTATATTGGATGGACAAAGGAAGAAATTAAGATTAGAAAAAAAAAAACAAAAAAACAAAGAGGAACATGTAAAACATATATTGTTTTTATTGGACTACTATTCTATTTATAGGATACAACACACCTATTCATGAAATGATACATCCGTTCAACTATAAAAAAAAATTTACCATTAATTTCTTCATAACCATTCATATTTAATTTTTTCCTAGATAACCATTCATATTTCTTTCACAGAGTGAGTCAGTATACAAAGAGTAAATTAGGGAATTGAAATATTTCACATTTTTTTTAATAAAAAAATAAAAATTATAAATAGAGAGGTAATATATTTTAACTGGACAGAAAGTCTTCATGGAAAAAAAAGTGTTTAATACAAATAAGTGTGTGAATTTAAAAGAAACTCTTTTCTAAAAGAAAACAACTCCATAGGCAAAATATATAAAATAGAAAAGGTGTCCAGAGAGAGAGTGTGTGTGTGTTTTTTCCGCTTTACAAACAGGTGCCAATAGTTAAGGTAACTTTTCAAAAAAATTATTTTTCATATTAAAAATCTATCTAAAGGTGTAAATGTGTATTGGCATGAATTATTATTTTTATTAAAAATAAATAAATAGAGAGGTGATATTTTTGAACTGCACGAAAACTCTTTGATCATGAAAAAAAAGGTGTTTAATATGAATAAGTGTGTGAATTTAAAAGAAACTCTTTTCTAAAAGAAAACAACTTGATAATCAAAATATATAAAATAGAATAGTATCTAAAGAGTGTGTGTATTTTTTTTTTTTTTGGCTTTGCAAAGAGGTGGTAGTAGTTAAGTAGGTAACTTTTGAAAATAATAATAAAATAAAAAATTCATATTAAAAATCTAGCTAAATGTGTAAAAGTGTAGAATCAAAAGGTGTATAACAGTGAAAATTAGAAATCTGAAAAAAACAATGTAAATTGAAAACTTGAAAAGTCATGTAATAATATTTTTTAACTAATTAGTTAAGTGTTTTAAAATGTATATATAGACTTTTTGATTGGGTGAGTTAAAATAGAAAGAGGATTTTTTGTAGCCCTTATTTTACTTTATTTTTCTTTATATCAGTAACTTAAACAAAATGCAATTATCTCCAAAAACAAAATGTATGTTATACTTAATATTTTTAGTTTAATCTATATGTGTAAAAGTGTATTGGTAAATAATATAAAAAAGATTGAAATTCTACACGATGCAACTTTTAGAAATTAAAAGGTGTATAACGTAAATTGCAAAGTTGAAAAGTCACATCAGAATATTTTTTACATTAAATTAAGTGTTTTAAAATGTGTATAAATATTATAAATTGAATACACTTTTATAGGATATATAGATATATGTTTTGTGTTTAATAAAAGTTTAAGTCGAATCCATGTGGTGTGTGTAAAATAACTTGTCATAAATTACAATATTTTTGTTATGTTTTAATATATTTTTTCTTCTTAAATATTTACAATAACCAAACATCAAAAATTTTAAAAATATTTTACATTCAAACAAACGGAGCCTTTCCTTATTTTTTCCGTTTATTTGTAACCTATTGTGCCCGTATATATTCGGGTTCGAGTCGATGGATCAAAACTCAAATTTTGTTTGGTCCGAACTTGGATTAGGAGGTCATAAAGAGCGAGAGCGGGAGCGGAAGCACCAGAGCGGCATATTCCAAAACATCCTAGAGCGGAAGGGCCACGTACATTATAAACTTATAAAATATTCATTTATAATAGTAAATATATGTTTTAAATAAATATCATTAAAATAAAAAGACAGAATAGTGAATAAAATATGATTCCATTAGAATTAATATAACCTACTTTATAAAAATGCATAAATTAATCAAACATAACAATAAAACAAATTGCTTTATAAAAACGAAAACATAACAGTGAATAGGGCATAACAGACAAAAAATAAAATAAAATAAAAAATTTACTTCCAAACATTACTTCATAACAGCAAAAAAAAAAATTAATAATGAATTTAATTCATTTTTATACATTTAATCTGTTTTAAGCTCTCAAGATGACAATCATTGTCTTTGAAATAGCAATGTTCAAAAGCAAAAGGAAAAAGACAATAATACTTCAGTTTGCAAATTCTACTACTAAACTTTAAAAACAAACATAAAATATCCAAACTTCCAAACCCAAAAGCAAAATAAGACTACAAAGACAAAAAGTTACTGACTATTTTGCTGCAATCTAGTTGATCCATCGCCTCTTGCCTCGGGGAAATTTCCTCTTTCCACTCTGCGACTTGTTTGAGACATGTTAACCCCTTGAGTGGATGGCAAAGAAGTACTACATGTTGCATTATCTAGAGAAGAACTTGAAGCCTCAATCTCATGAGCATAAAGTGTAGCCTGCTCTCTTTTATCCGTACTTTCTAAATCATTATCCAATTCATCTTCATAAGCAAAATCATCCATAATATAAAAAGTTATTCCTTCCTTTATTTCTTTACTAATAAATATTGAAGATAAGTACTATTAAATTTAAACTCAAAGGACAGAGTTTACTTAATTAAATTAAATTGGTTACTTTTTGATCTAATTAATCTTAGTTGGTCTGTGTAAGTTGGGGGTAAAACTAAAATTTCTCAGGATTCACATTTAATCCGTGAATTTATTTTTCAAAATCGTCGAATTCTTGAACATAATACACGATTTTTCCTTACACAATTCGTCGAATTGAATATTAAAAACAGAATTCTTAAATTGAATTCGCAAATTCAAAAACATAAGAGCGTGAATTTTGGCGAATTTACACTTAAAACACCAATTCGCGCGCGGAGCGATGAAGCGCCAATGATTTGAGCGAATTATGTAACTTAGATTAGGAGGGTAAAGGGATCAAAATTCCATATTATTGTGTGATTAGATATTTTTTTTGTGACTGTAATGTGATTTGCTTTTCATTGTGCCCCACGCGCACAACCGTGTGTCTGTGAGGCGTATGCATGAGTGTCTGTGAGGAGCCAATTATCCAATGCGCAAGCTCAGAAGTAGTTCTTACCCTGAAAGGATTTAAATTACTTCTCATGTTCTAGATAGTAGAGTGATTTATAGACCTAGCTAATGGCTGATCTAAAAATTTCAACACCAACAACAAAAACAAAGAATAAGAATTCACCTCACCAACTGCATTGTCAAACATTAACTCTGCTATAGATGCAATTGATAAGCAGCAAAATAACAAAGTTGAATATAAAACTTTGTAGCATCCCAGAGCATCTAAAACTTCTTGAACCATCTCAAAATTCTCCAATCGCATACACCTTATACCAATTCAAATTGCCTACATTGACCCATCCAGAAATTTCAAACTTATGCACAAGCAAGCCACATCACAAAAGTACAAGTTTTAATGTCTGAAGTTTACAAAAAACTGAGATAGAATGCGGAGGTGTAAAGGTTACAGAAGAGATGCAGATTCCTGTTCAATCTTTGCCTGCAAAAACATATGATAATCAACACACAAATAAATAAAGAAATTAAGGAATAAAAAATTTAAACTAATACAGAAATTAAGTAATAAAAGGCTTTAACAATATATATACCACTGGTTCGCGGTACTTCAGGTACAGAAACAGCTGGACAGCTCCACACAAAAGACCTGCACCAGTCCCCAGAACCAAAAAGAGTTCGAATTTCACCAGAGCGTAAGCCAGCCAAAAGATCCCATTCAGTAGACTTAACAAGGTAATATGGATAGGCATGTACTGTGTGCTCCTAGTTTCAATCACCTCCTTCTGTTTAAATACAGAGCTAACATTAACATAACGTTTGAATGAAAAACCAAACACTAATATTTTACAAGAACTGAGAGAACTTACAACAATCGACAGAGGGGAACCATACATCCCTATACTCGATAGGGTAGAACATAATCCAACAAATACCTCTCTCTTCTTATTCTTGGGCCACACAAGGGTTATGATACCAAATATTGCCAACAGAGCAACACACCCACCAACATAAGCAATCACTGTTGTCTGTATGTCTCATGTATATTAGTAAATTTACTAAATACTCACCCTAAGAACATTTATATAAGGTTGGTAAATTTAACAGACATTACCCTTTGGTTAACCCTTTCGCCATTGGCGTACAACCAGTATAAGTAGACATAGACAAGCTCGACTACGAGGCCAATGCAGCTAATACACAGCAGAGCAATGTTATGGCTGGGATCACTCACTCGGGCATAAATGATCCAACATGAGCAGTTTAGAGCTGTTGCGACGTAGGGAACACAGCTAAACTGCTCAACATCTTTGTTATTGCAAATCCTCCGGAATGTTATCCTGCAAAAGCAGCATTTAAACACCCAACAAATAGACTATTTAAACAACATCATCAATAATTAATAGTTGTAAGGGGTCTGGTCCGTATTATTAGTATATTTTAACAACCTAACAAAACAGTTACATAATTAATATACGTAAATATGCAATATATATATGAGTAAGGAGAATTTTACATAGGTGACGCATACAGGAACAGCGAAATGATACTCCCTGCAAGGCAACAATATTCACATGCATCATTAGAAATAGATTCAAATTACACAACATTAATAAAGTAATAGCTAGATTACAAGATAATTTGTGTACCTTGTACTAAAGTGCATCAGAAGGGTGGGTTTGTAAACACAAAATCTATGTACATTAACAACACCATTATGCTAAAGTACCCTAACCCATCACTCTCTGTGGATTGATTTCCTTACAGCCAAGAAAAAACTCAAGTCACATGAAAGCACCTTATACAAATCTTTAATTGTCAAATCCTAACCAACCAACCACACAGATGCCTCACCTCATCCACCACCCCTTCATTACATCCCAAGCCTCTAACACCATCAGCAAATCCAATCCCAAGCCCACTTACTATAAATAGTCTCTGCTGAAAGCAAAATGTACAACAGGCAAGCCCCAATCAATGGCAAAGACCCAAAAGAGGACTAAAAAAACCCACAACCTATAATCCAACCATCTTCAGCACTGCAGGGGTTTAAGTAGAGTTCAGTCTTGTTACTCTATCCAGTATCCAATTTCCTCTTTTATGACATGAGGCTCTCCTGCCCATCCTCATTACAATGTGATTTGGGGGATTTGAGTATAAAAACAAGCAATTAGATTAATTAATACTATTATTATGGGGACGTATTGCCTACTACTTATTAGCTACTAGCTGGGCCAACCATACCAGCACGGCAAGGAAATTCAGTTTCGTTTTAGTAGGTTTAAGCCAGTGTGTGAAATAAGGTGCACTTCCTCGATTCATATTATATATTGTCACTTGCCTCATTTCCCTAATTTCAAGTGAAGTAGAATTCTATCAAAGGCGAGCTGGCAACCATTGATAACCATTACTAACATACCATTGGAATCGCTCTTCTTTACTGAACAAAACTACAGATTCTATTTGGAACAGAGATTCTTGCACTGAACTCACCGGTGGGCTAACAGTTCGATCTAGATAAGCAAAAATACAAACATTTCGCTAATTAATAGTGAAACTAAAGGGTTGCAGTCACTCCTCCCAATTTCAACCCTACCCAGTCTCAATGTGTTCCCACAGTTGAAGAAGTGTAATTCAGATTCACACTCTCCGTGAGCCAGAACTGCCGGACAAGCAAGCTTCGGCGATTGATCGGCCAAAAGTGAAAGATATTGGTCGATCATGGATTGAAACGAGATGGAGATGAGAGAAACACGATGAGACAGCAAGCTAACAACATATTTCTTCATAATATAAACAACACATATATAACTTACAAATACCAACACAATCCCAACATTAATTTGTTTCTTGAACTTTCTCGGGAAACAAACAAAGCTAACACCGAAATTTCTCGGCAAACAAACAACAATGACAGATTATATCAAGAAATTGTAACGATTACTCACCTGCAATCCCAAGAATATCGCGTGCATTCATCGCTTCCAAGGAGAGAGCAGTGTTCGGGATCCTAACCTTCCAAAGAGAGAGCAGCGAAGAATGAGGTCGGTGAAGCCTCAGAGAGGAGTTAAATAGAGTGTAAAACAATTCATGCAAGAGAGAATAAAAAAAGAAAAAAAAAAAAGACGCAAATATATATATATATATATAAAAGGATATACATTCCGTACAAAAATTTGTACAGAAAGCAATAGAATTAATGAATGCTAGAACAAATCTTGAAATAATATTGTAATAGTGTAAAAAGAGCTCATGGAATAGAATAAAAACAAAAAACGATATATATAGATATATATATATGTATATGTGTATATATTACTTAAAGATTCCAGTACGTAGTTAGTTATCGACGCCGTGCATTGTGTCCGTGAAAGTTTTAGGTAGTGGAAAAAAGCTCCCGAACAAACCCATTACCCAAGAAAACTCTAGAATGACCAAGCCTAACGACGTCAGTTGCAAAAATATTTTGAGTTGTCTATCTTCTTTCTTCTCTCTCCAGTCACCTTCTTTTCTCTCCCTCACTCTTTTTATTATGTGCTTGAGGGAGTATTAAGTTAGCCCTATCAAAGTTTGACACGTGTCCCAATCTAGTATAATATTTTAAAAAATCTATTGGTTCAACCCGTTACAAACGGTCGGTCTTTTGGCTAATCTGATCTTTTTACCCACAGTTCTCCATGCAGAAGAATTATCAAACTCTTCCACCGCCCCCCTCCTCCACCACCAGTGGTGGCGCAACTGTCTCCCCACCCTCCGCCCCAAAACCACCATACGATCCAAACTTGGCGGCTCTGTCGGCTATCTCGGCACCTACATCCATCCCCATAGTCCTGGCCCTAACCCTCGCTCCAACCTCGATCTCATCACCACCCTCATCTTCGCCGCTCTCTAGAACATCTCTACCAGCCTTCTCTTTGCCATCCCCATTCCCTTCCAACCAATGAAATTCATCGCCGCCGTCTTTCTGTCCGAAACCCCCGTCTCCCTTCTTTGATTTGGAGGGCCCATCTGCTAACGGGCCAACGAACCAGGTTGAAAATAGTTAGTCCAACCCAAGAAGCTCACAGAAGGTCTTGTTTAAGCCTTCATAACAAACCCATGGTTTATATATCATAACTGTGATAATAAACTATAAAATAGAGTTAAAATTCAAACTAAATAATTGATAAAAATATAAATAATAATTAGCACAATTATATCAAAAAACCACAACCCAAAATCTATAAATTAACACTTCAAACGCATTAAATAATCAGATCAAAGATCAAGTCAATCCAAACTTTGAATAAATATAATTAGCCCCATGATCTTACCGATCATTTTTCTTATTTCAATCGATTGTATTCAGCCCAACAAAGACTTACACAATTTTTAAAGATATAGAAATGTACAATAATTTTATCTTTTGCCATTTGATAGAAAAATCTAAAACTTGTCCATTTATAATATTTTTAATTTTTAATTTTTATCAGGTATAATTGTTTCATTGTGATTTATAGATCTCAAGCAATATTTTGGGAAATATTTCTTTTTTTTCTGCTGGGAATTATTACAGGTCCCAATTGATTCAACAATTGGATCATTGGAGTTACCGTGTTATTAGTCTAGAGTACAAAAAATTTACTCGTACAAAAATAAGATTAACTACAATTGACCCTCCTTCCCTTCTAAAATTGGCAGTCAACTCATGGACTAAGAAGTTCTAGAAAGTTCTGGAAACAGATGGCACTTCAACTTCCCTTTCAAAGCTCTCTTTTTCTTTTCTTTTGTTTTCTCAATCTTTTTGGTGAATTTAATGCATTTGAAGAGAATTAGGTACCAATTTTCACTAATATGCGCTTTAAAAGGAAAGCTCAAACATGATCACCCTCTATATTAGCCCTGTGCTACACATCCATCCACAACCTTCAACATGCATCAATGGTCCAATATATTGTTGTACTATTACATGTAAGTACAATTTCTACACAATTTTTATTTTTTAATATATGATATTATTAAATTTAATATGAAATATAAGGGACGAAAATTTTTTATTACCATCATTTATCCACACCACTTCCACAGATGTTATAACCATCTAGTAAATAATTGACAAAGAATAATAAGGCTATACTTGCCTTCCATTTATTGCCATTTTATATATATATATTTTTCGTTTGGTCTTGAAACATTTATTTTATTATAAGAATCAAATTTAGAATAAAAGAAATAAACTGGCCTCAATTGATAGTCCTAATCAAAGCTACTTGTACCATCTGCAGTATTTGTCTGCTTTTATCATCTATATGAGGCTGTGAGATTCCTATCCCTCTATACAAACTCATAACTGGTGCAAAATTTCATTCTTCAAGAAAATTATCAAACAAATTGCTCTTTTCTGCCCATGAAATTCTAACTTCCAAGCCTGCAAAATCAATATTGTCAAGCTTGCATTGGCTGTTTCAGACTTGGGGATTGGATCCAATTTTATTGACTTCTTGATGGATCAAATGAACTATGCATGCTGGAGGACTCGGTGGTGGCCTCAGACACTTCAAATTTTGCCAATACGTTCGATACCAAACTGTTTACGCTGTAAGATCCGGTAGGCTGAATCAAGCTAGCGTTCAAAAAAGGAGGTTGATTAGGCAGAGGAAGTTCACAATCCTTATTAGTTAGCATCTGAACTACTTTAGCCATAGATGGTCTAAGAGAAACTGAAGCTTGCGTGCATAGTAGTCCGATTTGAAGCACATTGGCTGCCTCTTTTGCTGGAAAATCATTTTCCAGGCCAGCATCAACTGAATCAGCCAATCTGTTTGTCTTGTAGAGCTTCCAAACCTGAGGCCAAAATGAAAAAAAATAAAATTCCACATTGTCAAACAACAGAATGCATAATCTAAAATGAATAGCTTAGTGTGTGAGGGGGGACTTTAATCTTACTGTTTGTAGAAGAGAACTTGAGTCATCTACAAAGGCATTGTTCTTCCTACCACATACAATCTCAAGAACCAACACGCCAAAACTATAGACATCAGCTTTCTCCGTAAGTTGTCCACGAACAAGATATTCAGGAGCCATATACCCTCTGCACCACCAAAAACCTTGCATTATAAACTGAAATGATAAGAGCCACCACAGATGAAGACACGCCCTCAAACAAATGCTTGCCTAGTGGGAAAATGAGAATCATTCCTGCATTTTTTTCCTACTCAATCGTAACACAATCACCACCACAGGTCCAAACTAAGACCACCTCTTCCCCTAATAAGTGTTTTTTTGTTTATAAGATGATACTGCGCATTTATTCATTCCATTGTGCATATAAGCTAGTTCTGACCAAAAGCCTTAGAATATGTCTTATTGTTGTCCTATCAATACTAAAACTGTATAAAACAGTTGAGGTGGTGATGTTTTTTCTTTTCTTTTCGAAACAAGATCATAGACGATAAAATGGACAGAAGACTGAATAGAAATCTCTCTTACAATGTCCCTGCAATTCCAGTGCTAAGATGTGACTTGTCAGCAGCAAAACAACGAGCAAGTCCAAAGTCAGCAATCTTTGGAGCCAGATTCTCATCGAGAAGAACATTGCTGCTTTTAATGTCCCTATGGATAATTCTTATTCGGGCACCTCCATGAAGGTATGAAAGCCCTTCTGCTATTCCTACAATGATATCATACCTCTGGCTCCAATTGAGAATTTGAATCTTGTTCTTATCTGCATAAGAGAAAATGATCTAGTACTATTATCGAATTACTGTTTCGTCGTTTAGTTTTAGCAGTGTTGAAATAAAGAAATCAAAAAAATTGTTGTGAATTTAGAATTGCAGTTACCGAAAAGGAATTGATCAAGGCTCTTGTTGGGGACATATTCATAAACCAGGAGACTCTCAGGGCCTTCAATGCTGCAACCTAAAAGCTTCACAAGGTTCTTGTGTTCAATTCCACTGATCAAATTTACCTCATTGAAGAACTCATCAACCCACTGCCTTGTACTGAAAAACAATCTCTTAACAGCGACGTTTTCTCCATTAGGAAGTGTCCCTTTGAATACAGAACCAGCTCCTCCCTGGCCTAGCTTTCTTGATGGATCAAAATAATCCGTTGCCTTCTCAAGTGTTTCATATTTGAAATTCAAGCCGGACTTGTTATACGAAAGTGAAACCTGGCCTAGATTACTGCGTTCTATGTGTTTGCAAGTGAAACATTACGGAATTAGAACACTAACACATAAAAATTATTTAGGTAACTAAATTGATACACTTCAAATTATGTTCTAATGTTAGTGAAACTGAATGGTACCTTGTTTCATCTTCGACATTCTTGCATAGCCTGCATAAGCAGCAAAGAATAAAAGCATTAAGAAGGCCGTCCCTGCCAATGTAACAGCTAAGACAATCCTCTTTACAGAGACACCTGAAAAATATATGACAGCAGAAATAAGAAATATGCTGTGGATATGTTGACTTCAGATCAAGTACTTCCAATAGAAAATATATTCACTACAAAAAAAAAAAAAAACAAGGGAATAATAATCTAACAAATTGTATATAGTAATGAAACCTAAGCATCTTGCAAAAACTGTAAAGTAATAAGAACACTTTCAGTCTTTAGCATTTGAAAAAAGACAGTAGATAAAGAGACAATTAACAAATAGAAAAAAAGAAGATAGCTCATTGTAATCAAACAATTAATAGGTTTGACAAACACAAAAAGACTCAACATATGCATATACATCTACTATAGAAATTTAAGTTATTTCACAAAAAAGAATAATCTGACAAATTGCATATAGTAATGACACCTAAACATCTTGCAAAAACTGTAAAGTATTGCTCATTGTAATCAAACAAGTAATAGATTTAACAAACATAACAAGACTCAAAAATACATACAAATATGCATATACACCTATATAACTCAAATCAGCAGAGAGGGGATAACTAATCAGACTCCCATAAATCCTGAAAATCTACATATGTATACACACACATGCATTCACATATAAATACAAGAAAGAGAGGGATGAACCACAGAATTACAAAGTATAACACACGCAGGCGCGCGCACGCGCACAAAAAAAACCTCAATCATAGCATAAACTGTAAAGTATTGCTCATTGTAATCAAACAATTAATAGATTTAACAGACACAAGAAGACTCAAAATACATATAAATATGTGTATACATATATATAACTCAAATCAGCAGAGAGAGGATAACTAATAAGACTCCCATGAATCCTGAAAATCTATACATATGTATAAACACACACACATGCATTCACAGATAAATACAAGAAAGAGAGGGATGAACCTCAGAATTACAAGGGGGAAAAAACATAAAACACGCACACACACAACAACAAAAATATATATAAATAAATCATAGCATAAACATATGCAAAACAAGAAATCAGTGACCCTAAGATTAACCCCAGCTCACTCAACATATTCTTGTATGATCAAAACTTCAAAAGAAGACTCACCAGAATGTTTATTTACTTCCTCAGCTCCATTGCTATAGAACTTGTCAGTGGAATACCTCAAAAAACAGCCAGCATTTAACCCCCTCCCTTCCCTACCCGGCACACAGTTTGTCACCTCCTTAGCAGCCTTGGCCAAACAATCTCTGCACCCATCACTGCTCACACTCTTCCAACACTGCGCCAAACCATACACTCCCTTCGCCTCCATGACCGCGAACCCTCTATTCGACACAGCAGTTTGAGTCAAATTATCAATCAGCAGCCCAACATTCCTCCCAAAATCCGTACTGCCTATTGCTGAACTGCTACAATTCACTGAATCGGTAGAAGGGTCGATGCTTTCATTGTAGAAGCTATGATTGTCGTATCTGAGGAAGCACCCATCAAGATATATGCGACCAGAGGTGGCTGGGAGGCAGCTGGGGAGTCTGGTTCGACTCTCGGCGTAGCAGAGGAGGCAGTCAGTGTGAGAAAGGTCTTGGTGGCATTGGAACAGGACATATACAGGTGCTGTTGAGTTGACATGGTTGTGACCCCATTGATGAGTTGTCACAAGTTGTGAGAGAGTTTCCATTGCCTGGGTAAAGGTTGGGATGATGGTTTTCACATTGGGTGACCTAGAACGGCCACAGAAGAGGCCGGCCTCGGAGATTCGAGGATCGGAAACTGTGAGAGAGAGAAGATTGATGAAGACGAAGAAGAAGAAGATGGTTGAGGTTGAAAAAAGCACGTAATTCAATTTGGGTGTCATTGAAACTTTTTTTCTTATCTCTGTGTTTTCATTCTGTTTCTATTGGGGTTTTATATGTCAGATGCAAAGAAGAAGAGAAGAAAAGAGGAGAGAGGTTGGAATGAATGAATAGTATGTTCAGAGGCATATGATGAAATGAATTAGACTCAGCTGTTGACTTGCTGTCGCTCTTGGATTTTTGGGTACTCTAGAAATTTTGAGGACGTACTATGTGCAGTTTGAATTTGATTCTGAGTGAAGTACAGATGACTAATTCAGGGGCGAGTTGGGTTATTGGATTTCGTATTGTTTTTGGAAACTCCATCTGTGATTTCCTATGTTTACCTCATAAATGCTGAGAAACCTCTCTCTCTTCCAACTATTGGAGAAGATTCAAATACAATAAAAAAAAAGGAGTATGAGAAGCACTAGCCAAATTAATTTTATATGAAAAATCCATTTTCTTTCAAGGTTGGTGGACCTTAAAATATTTTTTTTAATTTTTTTTTTTTTTAGTAAAATATTTTTTATATTCACTTTATCGGTATTTGGCAAAGATTTATATCAAAATTTAAATAGAGTTAAAATAACTTGTCAAAAATTTATAGATAAATTATTTTTATTAAATTTTAATATTTAAAAAAATATTTTACGTCCAAACAAACGAGGTATGAGTGTTTATAATTATCAAAAACAATCACTCTCTTATTAATCAGATATTAATATAATAAAAAAGCAATAATTCTTATAGATCTATTGATGTTCTGTAAACCTCCCTCATCCTCGTGATAAATCATATTCTTTTTTGAAAAAAAAAAATAGAAATAAAAAGCAGCCACCGATAAGGAAATCTCGTATGAGTTCAAATACCCAAGGTTAGAGTCTTCTTATTTTCTTGGGCATGGATTGCGGGATTGGCCCCATAAATGAGTCATGAGAGTAGTTTATTGTCACATGAAAATGCATTTTTCATAATTAAGAATATTGTAATATTATGTTTTTTTTTTTTTTTTTTTTTTATCAATGGGCCATTAATAACCTCTCATTTTTTGAAGAAAAAGTGAGCCATTTGAATTCTGTGGTGAACAAGGTATAAAATGTGTGTACTGTGATCAAGTACTAGTCTAATCAAAATAAAATAATTTGTAAACTTATAATATTATAAGTTTAAAAAATCCAATTTTAAAAGCATTTCATTAATTGGGAAAAAAAAAATCCAATTTAGAAAACATTTCATTTATCTAAAATTGTTTCTATTCACTTTTGTGAAAATTATTCTTTTGATAACAAAGTCAAACAAGAATCTCACTATTTCCTAATGACAAAATCTTTGATACATGAATGTGATAATGTCAGGAAAAAGAGAAGACCCCCCACTTGGTGCGCAACATCCATAGAAGCTTCTTTCTCTTTGCTAGTATGCGCCTCCAAAGGTAACTCTTACACGTCTGTGATTCTTAAGCGTGTAAAGTGCGTAACATAAAATAAAAATAATTCCTAAATCAAATCACACTATTCTTACTATAGAGTCTGATCAAGACACGTGGCGTTCACTATGGCACATCACCGTTGATCTTTGGGACCAGATAGTCTTTCCAATACTTTGATAGAGGAGAGGCTATTGTACCTAACAAGTTCATCTCAGTCTATTCTTCACGTTGGGGCTGGTAAAACTTCTTAGTCAAGGCCCAAGAAAAATTGGCCCACACTCTTTCTTTTTCTTTTTCTCTTTATTTTCTTTCCTTTTTTTTTATTATATAATTTTGACTCTTAATTTCCTAACTAGTAACCTAAGGTCAATGTGGAAAAAGAAAAGTACCACCCCTATTCTCACCGTATAAAGACCGGTTTAACTTCTTTCATATTTTGGGATTTGTGTGACTTGCAAAGTTCAAATAGTAATCATTTCAAAAGCCTTGAACATTATTTATTCAATTCATATATTATTAGAAAATTAAAGTACCAAAATGGTTTTGATTAATATAAATGATTAATGAGTTCGGAAAGGTAAATAAGATCATTATTTCACTTTAACATTTACCAAAAATTCTATTTTCACATGTCTTGAAATTGTCACCATATTGTAGTTGTATATATTATATATGTGAAGTTCGGAAAGGTAAATAAGATCATTATTTCACTTTATCATTTTCCGAAAATTCTATTGTCACATGTCTTGAAATTGTCACCATATTGTAGTTGTATATATTATATATGTGAATTTTCACATATATAATATAATATATAAGTATATATAAAAAGTTTGAATGCGCATGAGCTAATCAATTTGTAAAAAGTAAAAACAATAAATAAAAAAATTACGTCAATACCCACTTCTTCCCTCTCAAAACCTTCAATCACAACAATTTTAAATATATTATGTGATTAAATTAAATATATATATATATATATATATATATATTCACATATTGATGAAGCTAAATTGCAAAGTTAATGCACTAGCTCAGCCTTAAAAGAGCATATGTATATAATGTATGAAAGAATATGTATTAAAAAGCCAACAAGTGTACGAATGAGGAATAGTGATGTGATGCAAAATAATGTTTAAGAAAATAAAAAGAGCAAACAAATATTAGTTGAGAGCGTTTTTATTTATTATATGAGTTAGAATCCAAATACTCACGAGAGCATTTGTCAACTTCATCGTATGAAGGGGGATGAAGGGATTTATACATATTTTGTTAGAAGTCAAGACTTTTGCAATGAATATAATTTTTGAAATATATATATATATATATAGTGATTCAACTGAATTAGTGAAATACACCAACATCATTTTTATTTTTTCTAGCCATTTTTTTTGAATTTTGAGTATGTACATTCAAAGGTCAACCAGAAAGTGGAGGGCCCAATTGATAAAGAAATTACTGAGCCACCGAAATTATTCTTTTCAAAGTGTAACATCAAACCACGTGATGCCCACTATACGACATTTTAGAGGCTTCCGGAGTCGATGGAATCATTTTTTGTCGATTATCTGTAACCCCACGCCATTAATAGAGAATAACATATCACCTAATTAGTGGCATGTCTGGTTAAAGCTTTTTGACCTACTGCTTGGATCTGACAAAAAGCAGATGAAGTTTTTAAAACATCACTGTTCTTCAAAGTCAATTAAGGCTTAGCCCTCCTTTGTTTTCACCGGAATGTATTGATGTTCCAGTTAGTGGTGGTTATCTTGCTTTAGGTATGTTCTAGTTTGAACTTGTATCGCAGTCTTGGGCTGCTTTCTCTTATGGGCCAAGTCCAACTCTTGTAAAATTCTTTACTTAATGAAAATTGCTATAATTTTTGAAAAAAAAAAAAAAAAAAAAAAAAAAAACAAAAAGCACCTAAGGAAATTTGCTTCTCAAAATTTTTTTTGGTACAAGTTCTTAAAGTTGACCAAGTTTCAAAAACACTTCAACAAAGTCGACAGTAGATAGATTATTGATTAATATTCATAAAATTGCACCATTTTTCGATTTAAATCAAGCAACTTTTGCATTAAGAATATTAAACTCAAATATATTAAATTCGATATGAATAGGATATGAACCCAACTTAGTATTTTTTTTTTAAAATAAAAAATGAACAAAGAACCGGTGTACTTCATTTTTTATTTTTAAAAAATAAAACAGGAGATTACAACGGGTGATATAAACATGTGAGATTATGTAAATATTGGAGATTATGTAAAATTATACATGAAAGATTCTTAGGAGGTCTTCCTCCATTAGCAGGTTTTTTTCGAAAAATTGAATTTATTCTCACCTACTAATTTCTCACATTGAGCACTCCACAAACTCTTCTAAGTGGTATGTTGTATGTTGCTATTAATCCATTCTTTGATCAGCCATATATTTATAGCATCTGTTGCCCCATGCGCGATTCGCCTCCAACCCTCTAGTGTCTTCCTTTTATTAATGTGCAAGTTGTAATAATGATAAAAGTCAAACTTTTGCTTATATTCCTTTTAATCACGTTTCCACATCTTGCACTATTTTGTTTTGTTACCTTCCAGCCTTTTCTAAAAAACATTTTACTCTTCCTTGAACCACCATAAATCACCAATCCCATATAAATCGCATACAAGTCTGTGTGTATACATATAGAGAGACGAGTCCAAAGCAGGTACCTATGGTGATGTACAGTTCCAGCAGATTCTTCACACCATCCTTGCAGAGTGAAGGGAGCAAAATGTAAAGAGAGAAATTTAGAGAGAGAAAGGTTAGATAAAGAAGGAAGAAAAACAGAGAATTCTGTGGAGAGCGAAACTTAGAGAAGGAAAAGCTTAGAGAGAGAAGAAAAAGAAGAGCAGATAATTCGACTGACATATATAGCTAGTGATTATCAATACATACACAGAAAAAAATTCTTTAATAGAATAAAAGTTATTCTAAAAAATTCTTTAATAGAATAAAAATTCATTCAAAGTTGTGATAGAGTGAGATTGTAAATTGTAAGAGTGGAGAACATGAAAATAATAAATAAAAAATATTATAATGAGAGGAGAAAAAATATGTAGAGTAGAAAAAAATAAAAAATAAAAGATAATAGGTTTTTTAAAAAAATAAAGAAAGTTTCACAAATCCCACCTGATAATATTTATGGTTGGTATAATGATAATAAGAAATAATGTGTGTGTATATATATATGTATGTATAAGCTCATGTAATAAAGATGATAGTGACAAAAAAAAATAATAGAAATATAAAAATATTTTGGGCCTACTATTAAATTTCTCTATTGATTGAGGTTTAATAATATAAGAAAATAAAAAATTTAGGTAGCTTAAAATATAGAAGGAAAAAATATGGGGTGCCTGAAATAAAAATAAAATAAAATAAAATAAAAAAATTGATAAACAATAAAAATCCTATAATTAACTTAAATATTTCTCTATTTGTTAATGTTTAATAATTAACTTAAATAAAAAATAAAAAATTATAATACATAAAAAAATAAAAAATTATGAGCCTTCACCAACTGCCTAACTCGCCTACGACTCCAGCCAGCCTCAAGGAAATTTGCTTCTCAAAATTTTTTTGGTACAAGTTCTTAAAGTTGACTAAGTTTCAAAAACACTTCAACAAAGTCAACAGTAATCGGATTGATGGATTAATATGGGACAATTTTCCGATTTAAATCAAGCAGGTTTTGCATTAATAAAATTCCATTTTACAAGTCTAGAGGATGTCACTATACATGTTTGGACCAAGGATCCAAAAAAAAGAAATTAAAGCTATGTACATAACATCCATATTCATTAAAGAATACAAGAAATATAGAAGAGAAGAAATTGTTTCAGCTCTTCATGACAAAAAGTCAGACCACCTAGCTGTATTGTCTTCACCATAAAAGATTATGTTTGCTCAAGACATTTGCATTTCAAAATTCCTTATGAGTTATGACTAAAGTTAAATTCATCAAGAAGGGAAAAACAATAAAATTTACAATAAAGTTGAATGGCACTGAAACCTAGCTAGTAAAATTTTTGGAAGAATACGTTGCCCGGAAAGTTCAGTATGCTTTCTAAAAGAAAGAACAAACCATTACTACAAAGCAGCCATCTCGATGATTGATTACACGGATTATGCTTCAACAAATGCCAGACTAGTCCGTAAAAATTTTGCCAGTACAATATCTCTCCGTTAATGGTACATGAAGTTCTTGCCTTTAGCGAGCATGTAACTTTGCGTAAAAGGGAGCCTGAAACACTAATCTTCCGTCAAAATCACTACCGGAATTGCCTTGTTAGTAAAACTTGAACACTCGACATGCAGCTCATCACCTACCTCAAAGTCCTTCCTGCCACTAGTCTGTAAAGAAGAATAAGTCATTTAAAATAGCATCAATTCACCAAAATAACTTTGGAGACTTGAGCTTCAAAAAGTTATGGAATCATCAAGCCATATATATGAAAAGGGAAAGAAAATATCAAGTTTTATCATTAAATCTTACAGTACACTACGTCATGGCATATTTTGATTCATGAAGGACCATATTTTATTTTGCTACTCATTGAAATAGTTTGCTATAAGGTTCAAGCCATTATGTTCCCTTGAGTTATTAATCAGACCCACCCCATTTGGATGCAATCTGGTGTTCAGGTCAAGGCCATGAGAACGGTAAAAAATTAGTTTGAAATAGTTTGCTAGGTTCAAGCCATAATTTGTTACTAGAAATGATTTAATCGCCATTTGGACTGGATTTGTTTTAGCGTCTGGAATTTTCCTTCTAAGCATAGCACATTACTATACCCCAACCCGACAATCTAGTTAATGGTGATTTACTTTGGTTGGCATTAGCTGTAACTGTTTTATTTCGTATAAAGTAGTGGTGTCACATATATATAGAGAATGGAAAATATTTTTCCAAGATTTATGTAGTCGTACTTTTTTGAATTCTAAAACACTTCTAAACACTCCTACCATATTTAGCAATCTACAAAAACACTCCAAAACTTCATTAATCTAGAGTAAGCAGTGACAGCAAGATAAACTTCCTAATTAATCTAGAGTAAGCAGTGACAGCAAGATATACTTACTATAAAAGGGAAGACAAAGAAATTTAACAATAGGTGTCCATTGAAGTTGATAATAGTATTGTTTAGGTGATCTGTGTAGAAGTTAAATCTGTCAATCCAGATTGTTAAAAAAAATTACACAATTTTAAACAATCCAAATTGTTACACACAAAGGATGGAGTCCACAATATTATGTTCAAATTGTTATAACCTAATGTAATCAATAAACAGTATAGGAAAATCAATAATCACATTGTTGATAGTCGTCCTAATCTTACAGTACACATGCACTTCATGGTACATCACGAAAGACAAAACTTCTATTTTGTATACCTGAAAATTGTTTGTAATGAGTAACCATATTATGTTTTCCTTATGGATTCTTGAAAATTAATCAATGTTGTTTCATGTTACACAATACCAAACCAGATTATGAATGGGGCGTCAAATTCATTAGAGAAACCAACATAATTCTCATGCTATTATGGTAAAAAACAAAAATGACTGCCAAGAAAGCATAAATAAGAAGGTGGAGCATACCTCAAACCGATACATCCCACGAATTCCACCACCCAAGTCAAGGACTAATCCACGAGCACGAATTTGATGAACCTTAGCAGTTACCTTCATTCCAATCTTCAGATTTTCCTCAGAAACAGCAGTCCCCACAGTAGCTTTCCTACCATTTCTTTTGTTTTGAGAATGTGGAGTGGACACAGAACCGCACTTATCATCATCTTCATCTCCGCTTACAAAGCTTGAATTGGATTCTTTTTCCCTTTCCTTTGGTAAAACTGTTTTTGACCTTTTGGCTTTTGTGGTTGAGAACAGACCAGAACTAGAAACATTTGGAGATGGCAATATTTTTGACTTTGATTTGGGACTACTCTTAGAACTCTGATTCAAACCAGCAGATTTTTCCTCTTCGTCACACTCAGCAGCACTTCGAATTAGAATTGCTGTTGATGATGAAGAAGAGGAATCTACTCCACTACTTCCATATTTGCTCACTGGCATATTCTCCACGGTAAAGTCATGTTTTTCTTGTTGATTGGGTTCATCCCCAACCGATGCCCAAACTTCAGGCACTTGTTTAATATGTGCAACGGATCCTTCAACCAAATTATTTGTTTGAGATTCTCGATGAGGTAAAGTTGCTTTAAGAGATAACTTAATGTTACCACGAACATCCTGCCCTATGCACATTAAGGAAAGTTGCTGGCCAACAGATACCACATCTGAAACTCGGGAAACCTGATGAGAAACAGGGAACAAGGTATTAAAAAAAATATCATACATAAGATGTAAGTTCCTCGACAAAATGATCCATGAGCAATCCCTACAACAGAAGAAAATAATCCAAAATCAATGTTCCCTACAAAAATATTTATTTTCAATATTCAATTGCAACAAAAAAAATCACAATCACCGGACATTGTGGCCTATAAAACTAAATGAATAGGTCAATTAAACAATAAAAAGAAAAATAAAACAAGGGCTGTATGCCTAGTGGTACTTCCTCACCTTCCATAGGAAGGTCGAGAGTTCGGCAAAAAAATGCTGGGGAGGAGGGGAGCCATGCTAAACCTGCACTGTGATGGTAACACCACTGATGGCTTAGAACTGCCAAGGCAAGACACTGAATGAATTGGGGGCTAAGCGTAGGGAGAGGGCCCATTTGAGGTAGTGACCAAATGAGCCAATGTGCCATTGCTTTAGCATCTTCTGCCTGACCCTACAGAACGAAGCAATGGAACAAAAGTGGGAGCCAGCAGGTGCGGATGTGGGAGGGAAGGACAGTGTAGAACGGAGAAGAATCATTCACACAAAAGTAAAATACAAAGAGAAAGGAAAAAAAAAAAAAAAACACTTAACAGCAGTCCAAAACTAACAAAAAGAAATTAAAGAAAAACAAAGATTTTGAAAACCTAGACAAATGTACCTCAATAAGATAATAAACATGCAAGAATTTACATCTTAGATCATATGTATGGATGGTATGAACTGCCTAGACAAGAATTCTTTCATGAGTTAGACAACATATTAGGACCTAATTTAATTCATTGAAGCAATGTCTCAACTATTTAAATTGACTAGACCATCCTGTTCACGATTTTACCATCTCGGGACCATTTCTTCCACTAATTTATAGTGCCATATATTCATTTAAAAAACAATCACCAAATGTCGAAACATTTTCCAAAAAACTGTCTACTTCAAAAAGGGAAGAAAGAAGGATGGTCAAATACTGACAAAAACGGAGGTTGATGGATGACAACTCAACTGAGTTTATGTAGTAAGTTCTATATCTTGTCTGTTACTTCTCTGTTGTACGAAGGATTAGGAATATTATCCTTCTATGCAAGATGACTTCCAGTTTCTATGCAAGATGACTTTCAGTATTTTGAAAACAGTAAGTGGAAAACACAAAATCATGTACTAATAGTGTTCCAAGTATGTGAAAAAATAATTAAACCTTATTAGTAAAAAATTTAAACAACTAACTAGCTGGTTTGGTCGACCAGATAATATGACAGACATCACATTAGTACTTCATTCACCATAATAATTCCAATTAACATGTTGAACATTTAACTGTTTAAGATTAATAAAAGATACAAGTTTCGAATAATCTTCAGTTAATAACACAAAGTCAAAAACTAGTCTCTAAATATCAGCATAGTGTTAGAATAATAAGAGCCACAAGGTACTACATGTTGGATCTCATATGCACAAGATAAAACTGAAGCCAATCAAATCAAACAAACAGAACAGAAGTTCTCAATTTAAAAATGGGAAAATAATCAAGATTGACCTAAGTTATCACCTCATTTATTCACATACCGGTTCATGCGACAACTCAGAAATGTGCAGGAGTCCTTGTTGGCCACCATTGAACTCCACAAACGCGCCATATTCTTTAACAGATGTTACAATGCCTTTATAAATTCCTCCAATTTCAATCTCACGACCGATTATAAAGTCAACCTGAGGGCCACATCAAAATCACAAGTACTTCAAGTTTATAAATATTAGAGATTAAGGATGTCCATAAGGATGGCTAAACATTATGAGATAGAAATAATTGGCATAGTAGATAAATGATAATGCACAAGGGCAGGTCTCGAAGGCATCAAAAGCCATTGTCTACAATTCCAGGCTAGTAGTTAAACTCTATGTTATATGGACTCCTCAAAAGTAGTGAAGTACCCGTGTCGGACAAATATTGCTCGGACATGGGTATGGAATATGTGTCCGACACTCTTGGTTAAGACATTTACTTAAAAAGCATATCCAATCATTCAATTTCATTATATTATTACTTTAAAATGAGTTAAATGACTATATTGAACACTTTGTTACATAAAAACATTACTTTATTCTAGAAATTAAAACAAAATAATTAAATGAAATGAATATTTAGCAATGTCCTTGTATCCTTCTGTTTGGAGATTTGACACATCCAATGCATGGATACGTACCCGTACCCGACACTCGTAACCGAGTCCATGTAACATATGTTAAACTAAGGAAGCATCAACTTCCCAAGTTCCAACAGCAGTAAGTTTTTCAAACATTAAAGCAAGAATCTTTTCAGAACAAACTCAAATCAGTTATAAAACATTCAGTAACTATATGATCTTATGTTGGAGAAGAAGCTATCGACTATATGTCAAGGAACTCGTTCTGCGGTTTCAAAATCCAACTAGAATTTTCATTTTCTGGGGAAGAAGACATTGCCTCATAGATAAAATGACCCAAAACAAGGGGCATGGATGGGAAAATAAAAGGAAAAATTTAAGAAACAGAAAAGCTCTGGAGTTGGACCAGAAAGTAGGCAGAAAGCAATTAGCATCAACATATGACCCAATGCATAGGGTACAAGACAGATAACAAATTCCATATCAAGTACACTTAAAACCACACGTCAAAATATGCTAGAATAACTGCTCATTCCTCTGAAGTGACTGTTTGCTCTATTAGCAATCGCTTCGTCTCCAATCCCTTTCAAACAGAAACAAATTGTTATTACGAATTAGTTCCACTAGTCAAAGACCATGCAATTAGATTAAGTGTTCTTATGAGAGCATGACTGGCAACCTACTTTTGACTAATTTCTACCACGTTTAAATACTAAGAGATAACTTCCTGAGTAAATCGTAAAAACCAAAGTACATCAACTCGAAGTTTGAGGTAACTCAAAATCGGTAATCAACCAAATGAACAACGCCTATCAAGTTCGAAATGCACACATTCAATACATAAATACTAGTTTATTTTCCAAAGAAGAAGCAATTTTCAGAAGGGGTTATTGCTTTAAGCATTGATGCTCAAACCATCAATAAACTTTTATGTACCCAATACTGAAAATTGCAACACTCCTAATCTAAAATAACAATCTTTCCCCACACTCAAAAACAAACAGTAAAAGTTAGTTGAGAAAGTGAAATATTTACGTGAATACCATCTACCCTAAAAGCTTAAGCTGTTAGAGACGGTGCAACTTTAATATTTAAATCCTCTAACATGCTCCTCACGAGTGGCCTTCTTTTGGTCCAACACGTGTTTTAATTTTAATGATCTGGGTGACGATGAGGTCTGAACTCAGGATCTTACCTGTTCAAATACCATGTTAAGCCGATAGAGAGGATGGAACTTTAATAACTAAAGCCTCTAACGTAACCAAAATACAACCGTTTCTCGAAAGACGATACCTAATGAAACCTATGAACAACATAAATTATGACACTATATTTCTTTAATGGAAGGAACAAAAATTATAGTAAATCTCTCTTCTTCTTTTTTCATAATGACATATTGTTCATATCAAGAGATAATGTCAACAATGCTTCAAAAAATAGTAGTAAGTAAAACTGCACAACTTGCTTTGATTTTTGAGTGTATAAAGTTCAAATCTAGGCATTTATAAATCTTATAACCTCAGAGCATCTTTAATCAAATTAATTAGTATTCCCCCACATAATAGGCTCGTGACACTATAACATGATGGAAACTTCTGAAATGCAATCCATTTCTTTTTCTTCTTTTGTTTAATATTTTAAAACGGATCATGTCAAGTTTAGAGTTTACAGTTTCTGAAGATCCTTGAATTGTTGAAAAGTAGATATATAGTAAACAATAAAATATTACTCCAGTGAAACCACCATGTTCCAATTGAAGGCAAAAGACAGTAAGTCAACAGAGTACACGAAGTACCTTTTCTAGTACTTTGTCCATTACAGATTGATTCTTAGCAACAATATTAAGTGTTCCATCGCTCAAAGAAATCCGCGCACCTGAAATTTTACAAGTATATATGCCTTATTATAGAACTAACGATAAATGCATCAAAAGTCTTGACCATATGTAAGAATTCAAAAGAAGAACAAGAAGAAGTTTCCACTAAACAACATCCAGACATTATAATAATCCAAGCAAGTTTGAGTGTGGTTGAGAACTTGTAGATGGAACATGAAACAGAGAAGTGTACAGCAGTTTTCATGGCTGCCAAGCCGATCTTACAGAATAATTTACATTCAAAGATGAATCTAAATTACAAATCATTGATTAAACAGTCAAGAAAGTACCTTTTATCTTTATTGTCATACAATTGATGAAAAAGTAGTCAACTTGCAAGTAATATAAAAAGGAACAAATTTCAGTATACAAGAGTTTGCTGCGGCAGGAATCATCATTTAAAGGAATTTTATGAACATTCAAAGTAGTCATTTGAGTGAAAGCACATGCCAACAGACAACCTCTGAAATCCATATACAACCACTTTTACAAGAAAAAGTTTAGAATTACATCATAAGACCACATTAACCATATCAAGATGCCTGAAGGGCCATAAATTATTAATAATAAATAACAATAACAACGAGGTAAAAGAAGTAATAGGTAAATTGTAATCCATTAACCATAACAAATGCTAAACATCATAAGAGGGACCCTAAAGATTGAACTGAAATATATGGAAGCATCCTCGAGCTTAAATGATACCTGTTTCTTCTTCAATTTTTCTTTTCGATACACCTAAAGGGCCACTGAAGCGGCGAAGAGCGTCATTGCTGAACTTCAAGGTAACTGCAATAAGGATCATAAATGTTAAGCAAAAGTACAATCATCACAGTCAGATACAAGGAAATAAGTCATATACGAAACAGAGTCCAATGAGAGTTGTACATCCTACCCAATTTTCGAGAATTCCTGTCATCCTGAGTTCGGGGTGCATTTATCTCTCGCTCCATGTGGTCAAGGATTTGAAGCCGACCTCTAAAAGCTGGTTCTAAAGACTCACAAATAATATCTAAAGGTATTCCAGCAGGCTTTATATCCAATTGAATTGCCGTTATTCCATTTCGTGTTCCTGAAATTTTGAAGTCCATGTCCCCCAGATGATCTTCCAAGCCCTAGAGACGGACACACAGAAAAAAGGTGTGGGAGGGAGGAAAAAACTGGTAAGAACTTTAGATGCTGCAGGTAAAAGATTACAAGAACTTGATACCGGTTGAATGCCCCCCCCCCCCCCCCCCAAAAAAAAAAAAAAAAGGCTTGACAGGTCAAAATAAATGAAAATAAAAGGTCTGAAGACACTAAATTAAAGAAGAAAACGATATAAAACTGATACAAGGAAAGAAAAGAAGTGCTTGTATCAGCTCATTTTTAAAGAAATGTTCAGATCAAGAAAAAGGTAAGGCATAGTAACTGAGAGAGAGCCTCACCAGGATGTCAGTCAGTATACGGTAATCTTTGATTTCACCGGTAGATGGATCAACTTCACTAACTAGGCCCACTGACAGACCTGCCACATGTTCTCTTAATGGAATGCCGGCGTCCAGCAAAGCCATACTGCCTGCAATAAATAAAATGCAAAGGAAGCATATCATGTCTCGGAGTGGAACAATACTTGTACATAACTAGTGTCAAATATGGAAAATAATTCAAATTTAGTATTGAAAAGCTTTGGTTGAAAAGAAGCTATAAAGATCCATTTAAATTAATAAATTCATGATATGCATCCCAGTCATCTAAGTGATCTCAACACCAACCACTGAACTACAGAAAGTTATCAATTCACATTTTCACCCAATAAAAACAATTTCAACCACCAGCAAAAATGAGAAGGTATAAAATCCAACGCTAACAAAATACAAACCGAGCAAAAAAAAAAAAACAAAGGATGAACTTCCAAAGTGGAGAAATTCATTTCATAAGAACGGGCACAGTGGAATTCCAGATGGAAGCTGTTGCAGTAAGTTAGAAAAGAGTACCTCCACAGACAGTTGCCATTGATGTTGAACCATCAGAGGCCATGACTTCAGAATTGATACGAACTGTATATGGAAAATCATCTTCAGGAGGTAAGACAGCAAGCAGAGCTTTCTCAGCAAGTGTCCCTACATACAATGAGAACCCAAGCACACAATAATGTATTTAGATTTTTTTAGGATACTAAATAAAGCATATATTTTTTATGAAGATGTCTAGCCATTTATTAGATAAAACAGTTCAGTGGCTCCCATTGAAATTGTACAGGAATCATCATTGCATGAGAAACATAATTACCAATTCATAAGGAGATAAAATTGGCACACATGTTAATCATCAATTTCAGAAGAAAATTTGAAAAGGCATTCCAATACTTTTCACATGATCAAATAAAAATCAAACATCATGAAGAATGGTTGCGGGCTGATAATATCAACATCTAGAACAGAGCTGAGCCCAAACCCACCCTGCAAAACCGCATTGAAAACAGAGATCTTTGTGCAAAAGCCAATTTCTACTTAAACGTTTTCCAGACTCCAGGGTTGTGCATAACAACATTAAAGCTACATATCCTGGCAAGGATTTGTGTAGATTGGACACTGGATCAAGCCACCCACGCAATCATTGAGAAACAAAGGATGATGCTAAGTGTTTTGCCATGGAAATTGCAACCTCTTTAACTTTCAGATGACTTTTCTTTTCAGAGTCTGGTGTTAAAATGTGTTTCCAGGGACAACAAATACACATTATTCAAAATTTCTATACTACCTGATTAAGTAGAAGTATTAAGGAAACCTAGTTCTTCTCGCTAAATATCTTCAAATTTGAGGAGCTCAATAAATCTATACGAAGGATTTAGATGCGTCCATCCATGGGCTTTTAAGAAAAATGTTTTACAAACTCCACTTAAATGCTGGACACATACAATAGCTGAATCAAAATGCTTCTGAACCGAAATCTCCTGAATCACATTATTCAAGATTTATTTGTGCAAACGAATAGTTGGAATTTGATTGCAGTACCACAAACAAATTTTTAAGTACTAATTTTAACAGTAAAAATTGTATAAGTTTGTCCTATAGGGTTTTATCAATTTCTTTTTCAATTGCCGGCGAATCTTTCACATTTTTCATACTTCAACCTACTTTTGATTAAAAAGTATTCAAGCTGATCATTTTTCATTGTTAGTTATTATTCAGTATATTTTTCTATACTTTTAACCAATACTTAATTGTTCATGTCTTGGACGTTCTTGTTACAAATATTTAAATTATCATAATTTTCTTGTTGCGCTTTCATGATACTATGTGGAAATACTGGGTAACTTGTATTCCTAAAAATTTTGAGTTTTAAAAGTCCCTCAAAAGGTAGGAAGCTAAATGGCATCACGCACTGGGCCTTAGTTGTGTTAAATCAATATTCCGAAAACTCCCCTCTGGCATTGTAATTTCCCTTTACATCCTCATCACATGGGAGGAATAACTCCCTGCATTAACAGAGGAGCAATACTTGCTGTCACATCTTTTCAGCGTTACAGCTCTTATCAGACCCCACAGGTGTTTAAAGTATCTGGCATTTGCAAATGCATAACTTACTTTATAGCAGAAATGTCCAAGCAGTCTCATGACGATGATGGGCTTCAATATAAATTGTTAAAATTTTATTTCTTATTTTCCAAACTGCATGTTTCCAGTGCCAACTTGTCTCCATTGAAATTCAGAGTGCCTATTCAGTCTTCAAGAAATCTTTACAAACAATTTGACATGATCTATAACATCTTTGAACTCCTCCCGATGAAAAAAAATATGTTCCAGTTCCGTAGAATCAGTTCAAACCCACCAGTTGGACAGTGAGACAGAATTTCCACACAAACTTACTCAATGGCATGAATGTTTATGATCATAGTTGCAGGTTTTAGAAGTATCCACATGTAGCATATACAAGCTATGTTTTGCACATTTCACATATTTTTTCCCTGGTGTGCAGAATATGAGAATAGTACTCGGTATGGCAAAAGTTTTAGGAAAAGCAAACATGAAGAGTTGTAAATCTCAAGCAGCAGATTCATCAGAACAGGGTAACAAAGTGAACTTGACATGTTAAATTCAAGTTATTAGTTTTAAGTTCTTAATTTATTTTTGGTATAGCAAAATAACATTGAAAAAGTCAATCGGCTTACCATGCCCAACTTCACGTCTATTCAGGCCAACTCGTTTACCAACTTCATTAATACAAAATGGTGGAAAGCTATAGTGAAGCATGAAGCGCTTGGATGGGGGACCAACCAGGGATTGCAAACGTTGAGCATCTCCAGGTGCTCCAAGGGTCACAGTACAGAGAACCTATAGAACATCAAACATATGCTTCCAGTAGTAGAACTAAATGTATAGTTGTGGCATATTATAATTTCTTTATTAAGGTCATCTTAGTCAAACAACACAAGGCAGAAAATTTTAAGTACTGACCTGAGTATCCCCACGCGAAAAAAGTGATGATCCATGTAATGCAGGTAAATAACCAGCTTCACAATACAAAGGCCTTACTTCATCAAGACGTCTCCCATCAACTCTTAGTCCTTCATCAATGATCCTTTTGCGAACAACCTGATATTTTCATAAAACCTTTGAGACACTAGTCTTCATTGAGATATATGAAAACCAAAACAAAGATAAACATAAATTAATTACAAATATCTAAGAAGCCTACATCAATACATCCTCCTTCCCAATCTAAATGTTCCTGTTGGGGATCCCAACATTGGGATAAAAAGGCATGAACGGGATTCACATTGGTTCAGGAAGATTAAATTGTCAAAATTGTCCTTCTAAATTTACTTTTTGTATAGTGATTTGGGTGCTAACTTTTCCAAAAAGGGAAAAAAGGGTAAATTAGGAATGCTATAGATAAGTAAATTCATTTTTCAAATGGACATCTAAAGATGGAAAGAGGGACATTCTCCATATGTGACAAAGAAAGTAGTTCCTAAAAGACAATCTAGTTTCTCATAAACAACATTCCAAATGCCAATCATTTGGTTTTATGATCCAAGAATATGACATATCACACATTTTTATATTGTTCAAGAGACAGATACCTAGCAGTCTTAAGAAGACTAAGTAATATATTTTCTAAAAGAGGAATCACCAACTCCATGAGCAACTTATATATCATATCAGAACATAGACAGTCGCATAACTCAATGACAATTCATAGTTACGATGTGTGTTTATGTAAATATGTGTCAAAAGAAAAGGAAGTTCAAACATATATCATAGTTAGCTGTGCAAGCAGGAATGTAGTGGAAGAACTTTAGTGGATATAACTTGTGCAACAGACTGAGACAGGGGACCTCTATGCATACCTCTTTCCTTACTGTGTCAACTGTCTTTGATACAACTTTTAAGCCTTCTTCATCACATTCTTCCTCAAGTGCTGTTTTTACATCTTGTGTAATTTTATCCAAGGCTTCTCCACGTTCGAACTGAATGAGAATAGCACGACAACCATTACTTCAAAAGAATATACTAAATACAAGCATCACAATCCCTTTCTTGTCTTGGAAGAAACAGGTCAAGAGCCACAGAAACAAATAATATCCATAAAATTTATTTTGCTTTTGTTGCTCAAACAAGATCATGCACACCTTGCCATACGCAGGATCTGTAAAAACATCTTTAATAGGTGCTTCAGCCAAGTTCCTGATTTTTTCCAATGTACTCTCTGACACCATAGACAATTTATATTCCTTCTTGTGTTTACCAGCTTTGGCCGCCAGTCTAATTTGAGGCTCAAGATATTTAACTGCCTGATAATCAAACTTACAATTTTTTATAGAATTCAATCATTAAAAAAAAAAAAAATGAATGCCTAAAAAGTTGTAATGAGGCAAATGACTCACCTCAGGATGAGCCATCCTTAAGGCAGCTTCCAGATCTCTTTCAGAAATCTCACGGGCTTGCACATCTATCATCAAAGTTTTATCCCTTGTGCAGGCATATACCAAATTGAGATCACTTAAGCTAAGCTGTGTGGCATCCAATAAGTTTGCAGGACAAGTTAGAATATGAAAAAGAAAATAATAACTATGAGAAAGCATATCTGTAAATGCTTTCAGCATATTGCAAGACTTGGGAGCAGTGTCAAGTTCACTTATGAAAACACTACATTGTATCAGACTGCTTGATAATGGAAAATAGTTATGTGCATTTTATAACAAAAACAAAATAGGGAACTATCCTTTTACAAGTGATACTATATCGATCAATCATTGAAAAAACAGAACCGATCTCATATTAACAAAAGAATAGGAATTCCTATTTGGATTTTGGGTAACAATGAAGGGGACTAGGGTTGGAAAATGCTATATAAGTGTTACAGAATTCAAATAAAATCAGATCATAAGCAGATCCATAAGAAAGTGCCAACAAAAAAACATTAAAAATTAAATTTAAAAAAAAAAAAAAAAAAAACTTGTGCGCAGTTTTTTTCTTTTTTAGGGGGTGACTTGATTAATTGTCTCATTTATAAGTATCACTCTTACCAGTAGTAAAAGATGGCCTTTCAGTGAACATGACAATGTTAGCACAGTGTCACTGTAGGAATTTATATATATATACAAGAAGGTTGGGGTGCTTCAGATGCAATATGAATTGTGTACTTTCAGTACTAATAACTACTAATTGTGGGAGACGTTGAATTTTTTAGTTAAAAAGAATGATTTAGTATTAGAGTTTTCAATTACAACTATCATCAACTTTTTATACAAAAGATGATAAGACAAAACATAAATTTCAAATGTATTTATATATGTGTTGTGCGCGCCTGTGCACTATTGTCTACTAACTCTAGGGGGGAAATGAGAAAGAAATAAAAAATCTAAAGTATTCTTTTTTCTTTTTCTTTTTTTTGACTTGAAAGCTAGTTAGATTGATAACTTGTCCTATGTTTCTGATCGGAGAATTTTTTAGTAAAAACATAAAATAAATAAGAATTTTGTTACTTTTAAATCGAATTTCTATATATATTTTCTCCATAATAGTAAATATAATATGATCTCTTTGGAAAAAAAAAAAAACAATTATAAGTAACAAAGTTATTACTTGTCTACCATGGAACTAAGTTGAACCAACCAAAGACAATTTAGAAATGAAGCAATTGACATTCAGGCAAGTAGCTTGCGAAGGTCAAAACTGCAGCTACTGCCCTGAACTAAACAAAATGGTCAATAACTAAGAAATAAAAACTAGTGTAGAGTAGTACCTCATCCATGCTTGGATTAACAACAAACCGCCCACAAATTCTCCCTATACGTATCATTCCAATCGGACCATTCCAAGGAATATCTGATAACATAAGAGCAGCAGATGTTGCATTAGCTGCCATTACATCCGGATCTTGTATCCCATCAGAAGAAAGAACACTTGCCGTTACCTATAACGCAGGTCATGATGATTTAGAGGGTAAGAGTAGGGATGTAAAAATAATATAATATAAAATAAATAAAAAATCGTTAACAAACCAGAACAGTTCGATCTTACCTGGACCTCGTGATAAAATCCAGCAGGAAAAAGTGGTCGTATAGGTCGATCTATGAGACGACCACATAAAAGTTCACGTTCTTTTGGAGGGCCCTCCCTCCGCATGAATGTGCCTGGAATCACACCTTGGGCAAATTGTTTCTCTTGATAATCAACCTTATAAGAAGCAAATGCCATTGAGATCTTCATGATGAAAAATGAACCAAGAAAAAACTTCCTCCCACCAGTTTCCCCAAACCCAAAACAAATAAGAAGCACTGTGAAACATCTATGGCATTGATGTTCAATAAAAAGCATTAAAAAACAAGTTAAAACATGAAATATCTGTACTGTAAATCAGGAGGCAGTGCTAAAAGTGGACCTATAATATACCATGTATCGACATTTCCAGAAGAATCCCACTACCAATGGACAGGACTAGATGCTAAGTTTTTCATTTTAATTTTTCCAACTTTTTTTTTTTTTTTTTTTTTTTGTCATTTCGACTTTCTATAAGTTTTCACTGTCTGTGTTGCATTTCTTCTTCTGTGGGTCATCAGCTTCTGTGGCAGAAAAGCCTTAGTATGACCGAGAAACAAAAGGGATATCAGAAAAGATATAGTAAGATTGAAATATACTACCTCACTACTAACCTCAACAACAAAAACAAAAAGGAACATGTAAAACAGTGAGAAATCTTAAAAATAAAAATTTAACTTTTCATCGATTTGAAATTGGCACTTGTTAAAAAAAACTCATTTTATCATACCAACACACAATATAGCTTGATGTCAATAACTTTGTTGAGGTTTTTTTTTTTATCGAAATCCACCAAAATAACTCTCTTGCAACGATATGCCAAGACTGATAAATGTTCTTTGATTAAACAATTGACTTCTAGGTCATTAAAAGCAACACGCTGCAATTTTTATTTCTTTGTTGCAACTTGTAACCTACCCCTAAATGATGAAAAGACAAGTGTATGAAAATGTTTCGCTATTTACGAGAAAAAAGAAACATTACAGCTAAAAAAGAACTTGACTTGCAATCATGTGATTCAAAATATAACTCATCTTTACTCGATGAAAACAGAGTTTGATCTTCAATAACAATGACAACATGAAGTATATGTGCTCACCGGGATTAAGAGTCCAACCAAGATGCTTCTTGGTTTGATCCCTCTACTAATCTCTACAATTTTACAAACTCATCATTCATGATTTTTAATGTCTATAAAAATTATCTCATTTCCAGATTGACTCCATTCAACCCAAAAACAGAAGTTTGAAACTTTGCCTAGATTTGAGCAATAGGATAACCTCATCGCTCTTTTATGATGCAAGAAATGTGACGAAAATCAAGCATTAGTTCTGTCTCCAACCACACAAAATCCACTAACAAACACCAACAGTATTTCACCTATCCCAAAAATGACTTCCTTGTAGAGTAACTTCAGGAAGAACATAGACTGATAAATGTGTTTATAAACCGTAACTAATCACAACATCTTCATAAATACCAACAATCTATATCAATTGGAATGTTTAAAATCTATATCAACAATAAGCCTAAAGGCCCTCAGTTGAACAAGGGAACATAATTAACATCATTTCACATATTAAATTACAAAAGGTATTGTATTGTGTGTAAAGACACCAAACCAGATGGATTATGCTACTAGCTAGGAAAGATGCTTGAAGTTTATTCGAAGTCAATAAAACAACAAAACAAATAAAGAAAAAGGTCACATAAGGTGTATAATTCAGGAATTGAGGTTTAGAAATGTGCAAAATGAAGCATGCAACAATTGAAAACTGCAACCTGAGTCGGTTGATCCAAACACGACCCAATTGATATGCGTGCTCACTTACAATTTTGACATGGGGTTTAAATTCTATGCTAAAAACTTCCGCTTTGACCACATAAAAAAAAAAACTCATATTAATATATAAAATGTGTATAAAGTATATGTAGACACATTTCACATACAGTGAGGGGTAAGAAGTCCCGAACGGCATCGCCTTTAGCTGAAGCAACAGTAGAAAGGAGTTTGGTCTCTTCCATTGCCAAAATAACCGAACCATTGGCAAACCGAGCGATCTTCCCTGTCTCTAGCGTAATTTTTCGTGATCCGATTTCAAATTCTTCCTTGAACGTTTCGAGAACCTTAGTTCCGGGGACGGTTGGTTCGGAGACTGACGCCGGAGACGGAGATGGAGACGGCGCGAAGCCGAGACGACCACTGCAAATGGTACGAAACCCTAATCCTCTCCATGTGAGAATGTAAGGTAGGGATGTGAGGAGTGGGTTGGTTCTGCTCGCCACGGACGCCATGGCGAAGAGAGAGTTCTAGAGAGAAAAAGGGGAGGAGGAAGACGGAGCTGTTAAGGTTTTAGGGTTTAAGAGGTTTTAAGCGCACGTGGCGACTGGCGAGTGAGAGTGAAATATGAATGTTGGGGTTTAGAAATGGGTTTTTATCGGCGTAGGAGACCGCAAACCGAATGGGATCTACACTGGCGGGCCCACCATAAAATTTTTTCTTTCTTCTTATTTTTCGTTTATATTGTGAGCACAAAGATTTGATAGCATTTTTTTCTTTTTTCTTTTTCTTTTTGCCATTATTACTTGCGTAAAAACTAGTTATTGGCAATAAATGATGTTCATCATGAAATTATTTTCATCATTTATATGGTTTTTTTTTTTTCCCAGCTGTCAATGTTTCTGTGTTAGTAGGGAAGGGGGAAAGATGGGGTGGGATTCGAATTTTGGCCAAAGGCCTCTCAGACTCATTTGCCCTGCCGCTGGTAATAAAAAGAGATTTAATTACGGTTCCGTAAATGTTCATATCATTTTAAGTGTTTAATTTAGGGTTGTAATTCGGACGATTTGAGCGGATTTGAGATATAATTTGAGCCCAACATATTATATAAAATGTTAAATTCAAGTCCAACCCTAATCCTAACCATGTCTTCAACCCTAATCCTAACCCTATCTTCAACCCTAATTACTCAAACGGAGCCCAATCAACCAGAACCCAACCCATCATTCTACTTTTAAATTCAGACTTACAACTCAAGCTTAAATTCCCGCTTAAAATTCCAGGTTAATTCGGTTTTCTCATGTGACTAATCTTCATACCAAAAATTGAATATGATTTTGAATTAGTTTTTTATTAAATTAATCTTAAACAAGAAAAAGTTTAAATATTTTTTATAAATTTTTAATAAAATACAAACAAATTCTTAGAAAATTAATTATCCTAAATGTTAACTACAATAAGTTAAATTTTGACAAAGGAAGTTGAAAAGTAAAAAGTAATCATAGTTTAATTATTATATATAATATATTAAAATTAAAAATATATATATAAAAATATTATTAAAATTCGGATTCGAGTTAACTCGGGTTGTTAGTATTTCAATTCAAGTCCAACCCTAATCAAACTCGGGTTAAGATTTTTCAACTCAAGCCTAATCCTAATTATAAAAATAATTGCCCAAATCCTCAAAAATTGGGCTGGGCTCCGGTTGGATTCGAGTTGCCAAACCCAAACTGCACCCCTAGTTTAATCATTTGATTCGTACACTTCAATTTCAATATTAATATGCAACTAGTATAATTTAAATCCATTATAAAAGAGAATAAGCTCACAATTTATTATGTTCGTTACGGGATAATGAAAGATAATTTTTAAATTGTTTTTATCATTACGTCGGTAATATTTATAATATTGTAATTAATAGAGGATGGTATGCAATTTGAAAATTTTGTTGTAAAGAAATAAAGATGACATGTCCCTTCTATTATAATTTATTTCCTTGTATCATCTACCTTATGGGCGAGTGCAAGAGGTATTGACAGACTACTACGCTGGACGAGTTACGGGTACACAATCTCATATTTCATAGGTGTGGAAAGGGAAAAGTGTTATATATAAAAGATTTGTACACTCCAAATGGTACGAGGCATTTGGGGGTAAAACCTAAAAGCAAAATTGTTCGGACTCTAGTCTAAAGTGGACAATATAATATCATGTGGTGGAATGGGTCGTTATAAATGGTATCCGAGTCTGACTTAACTGGAAGTGTGACTCGCCTAGGACTGTAAATGAACCGAGCTGTTTATCATAGATTGGGCTCGGCTCATTAAAAACTCGGTTCAGACTCGTTCGTTTAGTAAATGAGCCGAGCTTGAGCAACATTGAGCTCGGCTCGTTAAACTCGTGAACAAGTTCGTTAATTGGCCCATTTGTATTATCATTCTACAAGCACATGTTTAATTACTACTCTACATCTAAAAGATTTAGCCCATAAAAGTATAACTTTAGCCCAACTTACATGATTTCATTAAGGCCCATTAGTCCATCATCCAAATAAGATTTCATCTCAGCCTTAGAATCTTGTACATCTCAACCGTTGGTTTACGAAAGTTCAAAGAGATGAGAAGATAACCCTAGAACTATAAACTACAGCGGCACGTCCTCTTTAACTCCTCACCGTCAACCCTCTACAGCCATACGCGACAACTCTCTCTCCATTGTTCTATATCAAATTTTAAACTCAAGAAAAAATTAAAGACTATTAATAGAGTCGATAACCATGTCATGTTTGATTTTAACTTGAAGTTCTGTATTTATTTATTTTTATTGTTTGATCCATATCAGATGAATTTCTTTAACCATGTTAGGTTTGATTTTAACTTGAAGCTCTGTATATATTTTTTCTTGTCTGATCCATATCAGATGAATTTCTTTCTTATTGAAGACGCAGATCAGATTTTGTGGAGGGGATGTTCTTTGATTGGTGATAGTTGGTAAGTAAACGATCCTGAGTCGAGCCCGAGCTTGGCAAATCTTTATCGAGCCCGAGCTCGAGCTCAACCTAGCCAGGTTCACCCGAGCCCGAGCCGAGCCCGAGCAGCTCTCTGAAGTTGATGAGCCAAGCTTGAGCAAGCCAAAACTCGGCTCGGTTCATTTGCAGTCCTAGACTCACCCCTAAGGGAATGAATCAGTGATTGTGACGATCTTGTGGGCAGGTGCAATAGGCACTAACTGGCTACCACATTAGGCGAACTATAAGTGCACAATCCCACATGACGTGGGTGTGAAAAGGGAAAGTGCTATATATATAAGATTTGTGCACTCCAAGTACGAGGTATTTTGAGGTAAAACTTAAGAGCAAAACTGTACGGGTTCTAACCTAAAATAGATAATATATTATCATGTGGTGGAGTGGGTCGTTGCAATCTCTACTCAGTACTCGCTCATTTCTTCCTATTTTCTTTCCATTTCCTTTCTTCCTACCGAATAAGACATACGGGGTTAATAATGGTACGAGAGAACATACTCTCTGAGACCGTAACTCTATCTTATCACCCAAAAGCAGAGGAGGAAGTAACTGAATACCTAAAATATCGATTGGTTTATTACTATTTAAAAAAAAAAAAAATACATAATATAGTTTTTTGAAAACACCATTATTTTAGTTGAATATTTCAAGTTTTTTTTTTTTTTTTTTTTTTTTTTTCCTGATTTTAAGTTATAAGAAAGGAATGCAATATTCCCACTATACCCTTTTTTTTTTTTTTTTTTTTTCTAAATAAAATGACAAAAAGATCCATAAACTCATTAATGCATTGTCTATTATTTTAAAATACCATAATTATCCTTAATACAATAAACTTTAAAGGGGGCTTGTCCAAAAAGATAATTTATTCAACATATATAACCTTTAACTCTGTTTTTTTTTTTAGATTATATATATGTATATGTATATATTTATTTATGTATGTTATATTATTATTATTTTTTTGAATTTTGTCAAAAGAGAATCTATTCACTGGAGAGAATGAGAAAATTTATTCAATTGAGTTTTTTTTTTTTTTGTTTTTTGGGTGGGGGTGGGGTCCTTTGCTGTTTTTACTTTTTATTTATTTTTGACTCATCACAAAATATAGATAGTTTATTCAAGAGAGTTTTTTTATTTTTTTATTTTATTTTATTTTTTTTTACTGTTACTATCAAATCAAATAATTTATTTATAACTTGTTTTTGGGTTAGACGGTCAAAAAGATCGAAAATATTAAAGATGGGAGATATTTGGATGGATAGTTGTGTAATTTAAAAATAACTAATTATTCATTTGTAAAATTAAAATTTAGGGATACCAAGTTTCTATTTTTCAAATGAGAAATTAAGAGTTCGAGTTTCAGTGGAAGTATGTGTGTGTGAGTGCCAACTAAAAAAATAAAAATTAAAATTATAAGAGTTTTTCATTTTAGTTGAGTGCAAAGCCAAAGAAAACATAAAATTGACGGAGCAGATCAACGACCTTTTCATCCATGTTCCCCAATCCCCATCCAAAGCGGTGATATTCACACTCCGAATATTTGAATCTGAAGTTGTAGGCCCACAGCTCCTCTCTTGTTCGGATTTGGTTTTTAGAGTGAGAAGAAATATAACGAGCTTGGGGTTTGATATGGACATTCTTGGGCCTGAACCTTTGGGTCTGTTAGCATTAGTCCAGTCCAGTCCAGTCAGTCGTAGTCCAGTGACACTGGTCACACCATTTGCGTTCTCTCCAAAGACCAGAACACACTAAAAGCATCTCAAAAAGAAAAGAATCTATACGAAAGTGCAGAAACTGGAATGTTCGCACTCTTCCCCCGCTCAAGCGCCATGTCATGCGCTACTGCAATTTTCTCTTTGCCATCATCGTCTTCCCTGCTCCCCAAAAACCCTAGTTTGTCACTTTCTTCAAATTCCAAATTCTTCAATAGAGTCTTCCTCAATAACTCTCAATCCAATCGCTTCACCAAAGCCTCTCTTCGTTGCTTCGCATCCGGCACTCCTATGCAGAAAGTCCAAGTTCATAACCCCATCGTCGAAATGGATGGTACTTCCAAAAAATAACCCTAATATGGTATACATGCATATATAATTGCTAAGTTGTTTTGGTTTTGACTCGTTTAGCTTTTCTTTTGTTTGTTTTATGATTATAGGCGATGAAATGACTAGGATCATTTGGAGAATGATTAAAGAGAAAGTATGAAGTTTGAATTTGCTGCTACTTTTGTTTTTATTTTTCAATAATTTTGATTGATTCTAATGATTTATTTTATTTTATTTTAATTATGTTTATTGTGATTGCAGCTTATTTTTCCCTATCTGGATTTAGATATAAAGTATTTCGATTTAGGGATTTTGAATCGTGATGCAACTGAAGATAGAGTTACAGTAGAAGCTGCTGAAGCGGCTCTTAAGTAAGTCTGTTTGACCACTTTTTGTATAACTTTCTTTTGTTTATTAATTATGTGCCTCTCACATTGAATACACACACGTGTATATGTACTAGTAATTGCTTTTTATTTTATTTTTTTTTATTTTTATTTTTTATTTTTTATGTGCTTGTATAATTAGGGACCATGGCTTGGTTCCATGATAATAAATGGACTGCTAATATGAGAACCCAGGTCTGGTATAATTAGGGAATCCACTTCATCCAAATGATGCCAAGCCTAGGTCAGAGTGTAGTCCACCCCTCCCAACATATCACTTGGAGTCTAAGGATAGGCACTTTGTTGAAATGATGCTGCAGTTGAATCTTAGAGCATTGTTGATATGATTTAGGAGTATGATAATTGTTAGAGGATTTAAATGTTAAAGCTACACCCTCTCTAAGAGCGAGCTTAAGATTTTAGAGTAGATGGTTGTCAACATGGTACCAAAATCAATATTCTCGAGTTCAAACCTCACCGTCACCTTGAAAATTGAAGTTGAAACACGTGTTGGACCAAAAGAAGGCCACACGTGAGGGGGCGTGTTAGATGATTTAACTATTAAAGTTACACCCTTTCTAAGAACTTAAGCTTTTAGAGTATATGGTTGTTAACATTATTGAATGGTGATTGAGTTTGATTTACCTTGGTGGCTGGTTCATGGTTCCAATGTAACTTTATAGTTAGTAATGGTGGCCGATTATTTTAAAAAAAATTCCATTGGTTCATGTGTTTAAAACCCTTTTTGTTATGCACTCCTTCCAGAATTCATTCCTGTATGTTGCTTTCAGTTACCGTTGTTCACTAAAACCACATCAAGAGTTAAGAGTATCTTGCATTAGATTTGAGTCTTTTTAATCATCACCATCATCATTGTCATCATAAAAAAACGATGTTGCAAGAATTGAAGCATGACTTATTGGGCAATATTTTCTGTAATATCATTTATAGCGGTCTAGGACATTTTGAATGGTGGAACCCTAAAATACAACTCTTTCAGCATGGAAAATGTTGCCAATGAATAGAATTGATAGGTAGCATAAGGGAATGATGTTGCAGCTGATTGGATTTCACAGTGATTGAGAAGTGGTTCAAGGAGAACTTGCACTAAAAGGGATTTTTTTTATGAAGTCAACTAAATGGACAGTGACGACAGTCTGTTGTGTCTTGATTTAGTGATGATAGCAGAGATTAAATAGAGAGTATTTCTTTAAAATGGGAGAACTATAGGGTAATACAAGTTAAAAAGATAATGGTCATGCATCATACGGAGAGGCTTGTGACGCGAGAGAAATAGGAGATCTTTTGAGGGAGAGTAATCTCCAATTAGGTCTCTCAAATACAATATACTGTCCAGAGTGTCCACTTGATTTTTTTTCGGTTAATGGGCAAAATTGTAAATGTATGGGTGATCTTTTGGATTCTTTTGGGTTCGCTCCCCTTTATTGGCGTTTTAATGATATCTTTTAAATAAAAAAAGCGATAAAGAAATGAACAAGGTAAGTGGTGGCACTTATAAAAAAAAGAAAAGAAACGAATAAGGTAAGTGGTGGCCTTCAATGTTATTAAGTTCGCATTTTGCATGATCTCTATTTGTGATATAATGCCAGATTTTCTAGCAATACATTGTAACATCATTCTATTGTTGTTCTCACCATCTATGTTTTTCAGGTACAATGTTGCTGTAAAATGTGCTACTATAACTCCTGGTTAGTTATTCCTGTTCTTTTCTGTACTTCATTGGTACCATTGGCACCATGGGACATAGTTTTAATGGCATACAGACTTCTTCAAATACATTCCATATATAGTTTGATATACTCTTTGGTTTCTAATTGGCCTTCATGCACGTTTCTTTTGTTTGGCGGCCCATGGGGTTCTCTTGATTGGGCACATTGAATCTAGGAATTCTTTCTCTTGCATGAATACAATTTTCATTTTATTCGTGGAAAACAGCTTATTCTGATCAATGTCTTTTTATCACTTGATCCAATAGCATTTTATTAGAAGGAACAGATTTGCAAATTTAATAAACATTGACACCAAGGGCTGTAGCCTAGTGGTACTTCCTCATCTTTCATTGTAGAATGTTTGAGGGTTCAAGGCCCTGTAGGGAAAAGAGGGTGTTTGAGTTTCTTGCCGAGATAAAAAAATAAAAATAAAGGCTGACAACTTTCGATTTGAGTATTAGAACGAAAATATGTATTAGAGAATAAAGTTTTGGTTCTGGTGATTAATTAGCAATTCCAAGTGTTTTTCTTGTGAATTCTCGATTAATTCAGTGTTTATGTTTATATATAGCTGTAGGAATATTTGTTTTGGAAGTAAGAAGCCCCTTTGGTTCTTTTTTATTTTTATTTTTATTTTTATTTATTTTTATTCAATATGTATGTCAAGTAATATAGTTTTTGTCTCAACTTCCAGCTGGTAGATTGCATAATTTGAAATTTTGGCCCTTTTGATATGCTCGATTATCAATTTATGAAGAAATTTTACTTTCGAGATTTTCTTGTTATAAAACTCTGTTTCAACACAAATGTTTGCCTTCGAGCTATAGGTATCCGCAGTCTAATTTGGCTTCATGTTGTATTGTGTAACAGATGAGGCCAGAGTCAAGGAATTTGGATTGAAATCTATGTGGAGGAGTCCCAATGGCACAATTAGAAATATTCTAAATGGTTCGTGTTTGATAAATTAGGTTCCCACTTTGTTATAATGGCACATTTGAAGTACTGTTGTTTTTATTTATTGTTTTAAATTATTTATGTATATGTGTATGCATTTGTTTGATTGTACCTTTGATTATTTATAGAAGTCCTTCTCTCGCTCTCTAGAACTGGTTGGTCTGCTTGTATTGGAAGACGTGTGTCTACGTAAACAATGTGGCCCAATATGTAAAGACGTTATTAATGGTTTAAATTCATTGATGACATGTCATCGTTGCATTTGCAACTGTTACCTGGAACAGCTATGCAAAAAAAGCATGTGAAGTTGGTGTTGAGAGATTGAAGTAGAGACTTGAACCAGGCCTTTTTTGCAGTCTCCCATAGGCTTTAGTAACTGTTTTTGGAGACATCCAGATATGAATTTAATATACTACAGGAGATATAATAACCTGAGGATTTGAAAAAAATTATATATATATATATGTATGCATTTGTTTGATTGTACCTTTGATTCTTTATAGAAGTCCTTCTCTCGCTCTCTAGAGCTGGTTGGTCTGCTTGTATTGGAAGATGTGTGTCTCCGTAAACAATGTGGCCCAATATGTAAAGACATTATTAATGGTTTAAATTCAGTGAGGATATGTCATTGTTGCATTTGCAACTGTTACCTGGATCAGCTATGCAAAAAAAGCATGTGAAGTTGGTGTTGAGAGATTGAAGTAGAGACTTGAACCAGGCCTTTTTTGCAGTCTCCCATAGGCTTTGGTAACTGTTTTTGGAGACATCCAGATATGAATTTAATATACTACAGGAGATATAATAACCTGAGGATTTGAAAAAAAGAAAAAGAAAAAGAAAGAAAAGATTATTTATTGCAATAAGTTTGAGGACTTCGAATGGGTGAGTGGATAGATTTCGAATGGGTGTGTTGTGATGACCCTGTGGGCGGGTGTGCCGTGGGCGGGTGCGAGAGACACTGTCAGGCTACCACACTGGCGAGCTACGGGTGCACAAGTCCCACATCGCCTGGGTAGAGGAAATGTGAAGTGCTTATATGTAAGTGCATCATCTCCAATTGGTATGAGGCCTTTTGGGGTGAAGCCCAAGAGCAAAACCGTGAGGGCTCAGGCCCAAAGCGGACAATATCATACCATGTGGTGGAGTGGGTTGTTACAAATGGTATCAGAGCCTGACCCAGCCGGAAGTGTGGCCAACGAGGACGTTGGGCCCCAAAGGGGGGGTGATTGTGATGACCCTGTGGGCGGGTGTGCCGTGGGCGGGTGCGAGAGACACTGTCAGGCTACCACACTGGCGAGCTACGGGTGCACAGTCCCACATCGCCTGGGTAGAGGAAAGGTGAAGTACTTATATGTAAGTGTGTCATCTCCAATTGGTATGAGGCCTTTTGGGGTGAAGCCCAAGAGCAAAACCGTGAGGGCTCAGGCCCAAAGCGGACAATATCATACCATGTGGTGGAGTGGGTTGTTACAATTGGTATCAGAGCCTGACCCAGCCGGAAGTGTGCCGACGGGGACGTCGGGCCTCCAAGGGGGGTGGATTGTGATGACCCTGTGGGCGGGTGTGCCGTGGGCGGGTGCGAGAGACACTGTCAGGCTACCACACTGGCGAGCTACGGGTGCACAAGTCCCACATCGCCTGGGTAGAGGAAATGTGAAGTGCTTATATGTAAGTGCATCATCTCCAATTGGTATGAGGCCTTTTGGGGTAAAGCCCAAGAACAAAACCGTGCGGGTTCAGGCCCAAAGCGGACAATATCATACCATGTGGTGGAGTGGGTCGTTACAAATGGTATCAGAGCCTGACCCAGCCGGAAGTGTGGCCAACGAGGACGTTGGGCCCCAAAGGGGGGGTGATTGTGATGACCCTGTGGGCGGGTGTGCCGTGGGCGGGTGCGAGAGACACTGTCAGGCTACCACACTGGTGAGCTACGAGTGCACAGTCCCACATCGCCTGAGTAGAGGAAAGGTGAAGTGCTTATATGTAAGTGTGTCACCTCCAATTGGTATGAGGCCTTTTGGGGTGAAGCCCAAGAGCAAAACCGTGCGGGTTCAGGCCCAAAGCGGACAATATCATACCATGTGGTGGAGTGGGTCGTTACAATTGGTATCAGAGCCTGACCCAGCCGGAAGTGTGCCGACGGGGACGTCGGGCCTCCAAGGGGGGTGGATTGTGATGACCCTGTGGGCGGGTGTGCCGTGGGCGGGTGCGAGAGACACTGTCAGGCTACCACACTGGCGAGCTACGGGTGCACAAGTCCCACATCGCCTGGGTAGAGGAAATGTGAAGTGCTTATATGTAAGTGCATCATCTCCAATTGGTATGAGGCCTTTTGGGGTGAAGCCCAAGAGCAAAACCGTGAGGGCTCAGGCCCAAAGCGGACAATATCATACCATGTGGTGGAGTGGGTTGTTACATGTGTGCATAATCTTGATGTATGAATATCTCATAATGGATTCTTGTGAACGAAGTTGTGCTCTTCATTTCTAAACCTAGTTCCATTTGTGTTTATATTCTTTGATATATTCTAAATAGGGTTCTCTTCCTAATCCAAAGGTTAATGATTTCCCTTTTGTAGGTACTGTCTTCCGTGAACCAATCTTATGCAAGAACATTCCCAGAATTGTTCCTGGTACCTATCTGTTTGTCATCATCTTGAATGTTTATGAGAGACACTCTGGACCACCATTAAGTACCTATTTTCTAACTTGCAGGTTGGAAAAAACCAATTTGTATTGGTAGACATGCCTTTGGAGATCAGTATCGTGCCACTGATACTGTTATTAACGGGCCAGGAAAGCTCAAAATGGTCTTTGGTGAGCTGACATATATTATATGTCTTGTAAAATAAACCGAGAAAGGTTTTCTATATAAAAAAGTATTAATGCTTACCTTTCTGTGTTTTTTTTTACTCAGTCCCAGAAAACGGGGACAACCCAGTGGAGCTCAATGTTTACGATTTTAAAGGTCCTGGCATTGCGCTTGCTATGTACAATGTTGACAAGGTTTTTTCTTACTAACTGTTGCTTGAAGATGTGCCTTTAAAAATTGTAGTGTCTCATTTCACTATTTAACAAATTCGTATCTAATTTTTTAGTCTATTCGAGGTTTTGCTGAATCATCAATGTCACTGGCATTTGAGAAGAAATGGCCTCTTTACCTGAGCACCAAAAATACAATTCTCAAGAAATATGATGGCAGGTAATCTTGATTTCCATTAGTTGTTGGGTTCTTTCCTTGAATGTTTGTCTTATTCTGTTTGAATTTTTAGTCAATCTTGAGTTTGAATTTGGAAAGAAAAAAGGGAAAAAGTTTATGAATTCTCATATCACTTTGACCATTACAGGTTTAAGGACATATTTCAGGAGGTATATGAAGAAAAGTGGAAGCTGAAATTTGAAGAACATTCTATATGGTTAATTTACATCTATTGCAAATTGTGGCATTGTACTTCTTTATTGATAACATCTTCTAATGGTTTATTTGAATCATATGGTTAACATTCAGGTATGAGCATCGGTTAATTGATGACATGGTGGCTTATGCTCTAAAAAGTGACGGTGGATATGTTTGGGCATGCAAAAACTATGATGGAGATGTTCTGAGTGATTTACTTGCTCAAGGTGATGGGAATGCATAGACTCTACATTGGAAAATATTAGGACCATTTGCTTGTTATTTTTATTATGAAAAAAGTATTACACATACTGTTTCTTGACTCTACACGTCCCCTTCCAGGGAATGGCATGAGATACCACTCTAGTCAACAATTTGCATGACCATATGATTGCTCTTGAGCTGTGTTATGTTTATTTATTTCAATTGTGGCATGAACTAATTTTTTATTTATTTTTTGGTGTTAAGTTTCCTGTTATGACCCTTTTTGACGCAATGTGTCTTTCTAGGAATCCTTTCCTTGTGTATGTGAACCAAAGTCATTAAGTTTTGTTTTTATGCGTAACAAGTAATAACAATAGCCATTTAGCATTTTGGGTCTCTGTGCCTTGAGAAAAGTGGATTGATTTTGGTTGAAGGCTTCAATACTGCTAATAAGCGCCCAAATAATTAGTTCTTTGCCAGAATATCTTAAATTCATCCACTGAAAAGTGATAATATATGGTTATGATTCTTTAAGGCAATGCCATGGGGATTCAAGATGAAGTTTAGACCTTGCTGCAGTTTCAGCAAGGAGTGCCTTTCAGTTCAATTGTGTGTGTGTGTGTGTGTGAATGTTGTTTAGCATTCTTCGTAGTTCTTGACTGGATATATAATCGGTAGATTGATCTTTATCGTTGTGCTTGATACGTATCCCTCAGAAATTATTTCATGTAAGTAGCATTTCTTAAGTGATTCAATATATATTTGGAATTTGAGTTTTCTCTAAGAAAAACGCTTCAAATGCAGTCAGACTTCAATTTGTAAATATATATATATATATATATATATTTTGAAAAAAGAAGAAAGTCTACCTAAAAGTTTCTTCGCTTTGTGCAGGATTCGGTTCTTTGGGCCTTATGACTTCTGTATTGGTTAGTGCTTGCTAATTGATTTTTTTTATTTTTATTTTTATTTTTTTGTGCTGACCTCTTTTCTTTGGTCTTGTGATGCTAAAATTTACTTGAAAACTCTTGGGGTGCAGTTATCCTCTGATGGGAAAACACTAGAAGCGGAGGCCGCTCATGGGACTGTAACTCGTCATTTTCGGCTTTATCAGAAAGGACAAGAAACCAGTACAAACAGCGTTGCTTCCATATTTGCATGGACCCGAGGACTAGAACATAGGTAAATTTTGCTGTTTTTTCCTTAAAACTTGTGTACTCCTATCCTTTGATGGTGTAAAATTTTAATTAGAAGTTCTGCTATCTTTAATTAATCAAATTTCAGATTGTGGCATGAGCCACGCTATATATGATACTCTCGTTTTGGACATAACTCATAAGTACTTGAGTAATATGTTGGTGTCTTGGTGATAATTCTGATGACTGTATTGTATGCCCACATGCAGCAAGAGTGAAACATCTTTATCAGCAATATATATATGGTTGTTTAATACTCTCTCTCTGTAATGGTTGCATATCTGCAATGATTATTTTCTTTATTCAATAACTATCATAGTTTAACCGTTTGTGTGATGAGAAGTCATAATACCTCAATTACTTATAAAAAAAAAAAAAAAAAATTCGTAATACCTCGAGCAACAAAAAATAATTTTAAGTCTAAGAATGATTTGAAGATTTTCTTTTAGAGGTAGTTTTATTTGGCAATGGAAATATACAAAAAAATGATATGAACGTGATGTTACATAAAAATTTGGTGAAATTCTGCCTGATCACCAACTATGTGACTGTGCTAAACTGGGTTGAGATTGATTTGTTGGATAAGTCTTGCTTGTTGGATAAGTTATGCATAGTTGAGCTAGAGTGGAGAATTGCGTCCTTTAAATTATAATTACGACTCTTAATTAGTGTCTGTAAGAAGAATACTGGTAAACTTTGGGGCTTTGTTGAAGTCATCAATTATGAAATATTCCTGGAAATAATTTGAAATCTTATACCATAGCAGGAAGTATAATGTCTTGCCCTTCTGTTAATACAAGTTTCCAATTGATGTGGACATTGTTAGTTTTTATTTGCATTTGCACATGTTAAAGTTCTTACCAAATTTAAGTAGTCAGTTTGCTATGCCCTTTTTTTTTTACCATCTTGTGCTAACAAGTAGAGTCTAGGAGTAATCACTTTGTGTGAATAAATGTCAAAGATTAGGTCTATCCAGTCCTCCTCTCTTTGGGATCTGCACCCTGCATGTGTGGGATCAACACCAGTCAATGGTCTTATTATTACGTTCTCTCTAGTTTTTTTTTTTTGTTGGTTTTTGTATTGACACATCTTTCTATAACTCAAAATATTTGTTAGGGCCAAACTTGATAAGAATGAACAGTTGTTGGATTTTGTTCATAAGCTAGAGGCTGCATGCATTGCGACAGTGGAAACAGGGAAAATGACCAAGGATCTTGCCATTTTGAGTCATGGACCCCAGTAAGTTGCTGCCCCTCTTGTTATTCTATTATCTGTTCTTTGTGTTTATGGAATCACACTTCTTGGGTTTTTTTTTTTTTGGGTTTTGGTTTGATTGTCATTGTTATTAATTTTGTTGTTTGGCCCTTTTGCCATTTTGATTCATGGAGCTAAGTAATCCACTTCATTAGTTTTGTTGATTGATTCATAGACAGGGTTGTAGCATGTTGGGATGTACCTGGAAAGAAGAAAAGCAATTATGACCATTTGACCGTCTTGTATAAGTTATTATATATAAAATATAGGGGTGCAACTTGGGCTGGCCCAACCCGACCACAACCCAAATTCGGGTTATGACCATTTGACCGTCTTCATTATCTGAATCGTTTTGGCCTCAAACACATACCTACTCTCCTCCACCTTACAAATCAATGACCCAAATTTGATTAAAACCTTATACATTTAATATCATAAAATAGACCCATCAAAGGTATACATACATACATACATATATATGTATATGTATATTATATATACATACTTAAAAGTCTAATAGCAGGGGCACTTGAGCGGTTTAATTACCAACCTACCCTTCTTCTCCCTCCACCACCACCATAGCTATGGTTGGGCCTTATCACCACCACCATCACAGATTTTGGGCCCCAGTGCAAAACCCTTCATTCTTTTAGTCTCACATATCCATCACTCAATCTCTTGAATTGTCCGACTCCATTGTCATTTAGCTTCTCTCTGTCTTTCTTCTCTCTGTAAAATATATTGTCTCTGTTTCTCTTTTTTCAACCCCGTGGCATTGATTTTCTGAATGTCTGTCAATCCACACCAACCCGTCGTCATATTGGTTTCTAGGTTTTCTTCTCTCCTCCACCTCGTCCCTCTCCTTCGTCGTCTTTATATTGGTTTCTGGCCCGAAAACAGAAGATGATAGATGGCGGTGATGGCAATGGCAATGGTGGAGACGATAACGATAACGCATGACGAGGCATGGCAATTGCGATTGATTCTCTGCAGTGGGGATGAAGTAGGGTCCTTCTCAATGGCGTAGGGCTGTGTTATAGTATTTGTTAGGGTTAAAGAATGATATACACACATCAACTGTTGGATCAGAAAAAGTAAAAGAGTCCAGATTTAATCTGGATTTTAAAATTAAAATATAAAATTGTATAATTTTCACTTTCGGGTTTGGAGTTGGGCTCGGGTTAGATTCGTTCTAACCCAAACTCAATCCGAAATGGGGCTCGGGCTGGAAAAGTCCAACCCGAGCCCAACCGAATTCGGTAAATAACAAGCCCAGCACGAGACTTCTTGGGTTGGGTTGAACCTGCCCAACTTGCACCCCTACATATATATGTCTGTTTAATATCAGATGCTGCTATGCCACAATTTAATTTTTTGAAGCCTACAATTTATCTGTATAAAGTTACGGTCCAATAATACAAGATATTGCCTTCCAAAATAAAAATAAAAATACAAAATATTTAAATGGGTTAAAAAAATTAATTTCCTGTAGAAGTTTGTGTAGTTGTTGTCATCAAATCATATCAAGGAGTACTAGTCATATGCCTTGCATCTATTGACAAACTTAGGCACTTTATAATAACTAAATTTTGCTCTCTTTACTATGATAATCTTTTTAATATTATGCTGGAGTACCATCCACAATTTCGGAACTTGAAAAACCATTTTAAAGTGGCAGCAATAATTACTGTGTATTGAGCACACTTGGCACAATAGGCAAATATTTTCAGTAAGTGTCTGTCAAGAAACGTGTGTAAAAGACTGCTGCTAATGTTGGAATGTTGATATGGATGAGTGATTACACAAGAGAATTTAATTTTTTTAAAAAGAATGCATTTGCCAGAAATTGAGGGTCACATTATTTGAGGTTAAGATTACTGGAAGTCAATTCAGATAGTTTCGTTGTGTGCTGTGAAAATCAATATTGTACAAGAGTGATATGATCTAAGTGAAGATATTACCAGTAGAAAGGAGGAAACCAAATGAACTTCCATGCGATTAGAGAAAAAAATATTATTATTATTTTTGGGTAGAGAAAAAAATTGACGATATGGCTGTTAATGGAGTAGAATGGTGATAAAGGATTTGTGTGAGGATCTGTTCTGTATTAAAATCATAGGTCATACAAACTTTAGATGTTAGCCTTGAGCAACAACTCTCATATGGATACCACGAAGGGCTTTGCCTAGGTGGTCTTCCTCCTTCCAAATGGAAGGTTGAGGGTCACTGGACAAATGCGTGTGTGATTTGCCTATCTTAAAAAACATCTATGGATTAAGTACACAATTGTTTTTCATGCCTTCAAATGAATTAAAAGAAGGGGTTTTATAAATTACATTGATTAAATGGTTAAGAAAAAGAAAATATCCTCCAAATAGTTATCATTGTATTTGGGAGATCATATGAGGAGGTCAGGCAGAATTGGTGGTTCTGTTTTAGAAAATATATGGACTAGGATGAATCTGAAAAATATCACAAGGTATTGATTGGAGTTATTAAATAACATGATATAGTTGAGCCTGAGTGCGACAAGGATTTATATGGATTAGTTGTAAGTGAGGGAAAAAAATGGCGATAGAGCAAAAATACCCATGACATCAATAGAATTATGTTGGTGCAAATCTATTCAAATCAACTAAACTAAACAAAACCTGTGTCCCAACTGATCATGGTTGGTTAAATCAACTTGTTTTTCAATTCTATTCCGTTGTCACTGTTGTCAGGATGACCTTCAAACAGTAATATAGTAAAGGAGGTACCGAGAGAGTTCTACCTGCTTCAGAAACTATTAGTTTTGAATTTGGTAAAATGACTCTCCATAAATTCAATTGATTTGGCCAACCATTTTAATGGGAACATATGGGTCCCACTGTCAAGATTTTACCACTATATCGTAGTCCTGTTTCTCTCTTCCATGCGTTTATAATCTTTGATTAGCTGTTTTAAACAATTTTTTCAAGAAGCTTTTAGGTCTAAAATCTGGTGTTTGGTTGTGCATATGGAAAGAGAGGAATAGCAGAATTTTCAAAGGAAAGGAATCGCCTTTGGCGACCTTGAAACTTCATATTCTTCGCTCTATTTTTTGTTATGTGAAAGGAAGCACTTGCTCCTCTACTGATGACTTAGTTGATCTTTTGACTCTATAGGTCCTTAGGTTCAGCTTTCGTTATTTGTATTAGGGATGCGTTCCCCTTTTGAACGCTTTTCTAATCGATTATTACTTATCAAAAAAAAAAATCTGGTGTCGGGATCCATGTGTTATTCTTCACCAACAGGTAAAATTAATTCATTACATATATAGCATAAATTTTGTGGGCAAGAACCATTAGAAAAGCTTCAAAAGTAAGGAAAGAGTTTGGTATGGCTCTAACACCAATGTTATTTAACAAAATGGATTATTTGGGTGGATCTATTATAGTTTTAGGCATTCTTATCTTTTCAATTATATCCAATGGTACATGCACACTTCTAAATGCGTGAAGTTCTTTGTGCTGGGATGAGATTAGGGCTGCAACTTGGGCGGGCTAACCCAGCCCAACCCAACCCAACCCCAACCCCAACCCCAACCCCAACCCATAAATTTTGAAATTTGGACATACAATTCACAAATCGGGTTCATGTTCGGGTTGGGTTTTGTCAAAACCCAGACATATTTGGGTTGGGCTCGGGCTCAACCCGAACCCAACCCAAAATTAAAAAAAAAAAAAAAAAAATTTCCTCCTTTCTCTCTCTCTCTCTTCTTTCTTTTTCTCTCTCTGCCGCCGTCGCTCACCCTCCGCCGCCGCCGATCCGGGATTATCTGTCCCCAAAAAAGAAACCAAACACTCGTAATCAAAGTTATATTATCACCGGAATATCGCCGGAAATTTTAAAAAATCGCCGGAATTACCTTTTTCGGCGGCGGCTCCCGTTGAATAACTCATCGACTCCTCTGGAGCGTTGTTAGCCACTCCTCGGCCATCGTTGTGCTCACTGTAACCCGAAGAGAACAGATCTCTCATCTGAACCCCTAATTCAATTCTCAACTACACAACACACAAATACCCTAAAAATGAGACGCAACAACCAACAAGAGTTCGTGGCAAATACTGTAATGAAGACGAACATTTTAAGAACCCCCCTTCATACCTGACTCATAACAAGATCTGTGAGGATGTTCTGAATTTCTGGATCCTGCGTTGCCTTGGCCTGCAAATCGGAACCCACAACCATATCTCAAGTTGGCTTCAATCAAAGAGACGCAACAACCAACAAGAGTTCAAAGTGATCATACCTGTCTCTCCTTCAGTTCATCAGCTAAAATGCCCACAACTTGCCTTGTTAATTTGATTATATATATATTTTTAATAATAATATAATCAAATATATATAATATACATATACATATATATATATAAATTTCTAAAAAAAAAAATTATATTTAAAAAAAAAACCTCAACCCGACCCAACCTGTCCAAAAATATTCGGTCCGGGTTATAACCACAACACATGTTGAGTACAATTCGGGTTGGCCCAACCCAACCCGATTCGGGTTGAGGTTGGGTTGGGGCTGGGCTGGGCTGGGTTGGGCCAACCCAACTTGCAGCCCTAGATGAGATATGTGTCTCACATGACTACATCAATAAGCACATTTAGTTTTTCAAGTTTATAGGTTCCATTATCATTTCCTTTTGTTACATGGGTGCTCAAATGGGTGTAGGGCCCAGGTTGAGTACTCCATTACATAAGAACACCATATAATTTTCTATAATAAAATAAAGAAATAAAAAAAATAAGAATTTTGATTGTGTCTCGTCATTTTTTGGGTTGACCATTTGGTAAATTTAATCTTATTCACACTCCACAGCACAATACACATTGAAGTTGATGTATCATATAGATTATATCTATTCCGTCTGAATATATGAAGTGCTAGATCTTTCTGAATCACGGGTTTATGTCTGTATAGTTTGGATTCATCGCATGCTTTGAGCTATAAAACCAACTGGGAAAGTTGACTTGTAACATGGGCTAGGATTCACTGGTTCAACCGGCTAAATTTACCACTTAGATCATAACAGTGTATGCTGTTAAATAAAAATAAAGCAGAAGATCTACATTATGAAACAATGAAAATTTAGATAAATTAAGTTTTTCTATTTTCATTTAGGCTCCTTTTGTTTGGATGTAAATTATTATTTTTTTATTTTATGGTGTTTGGTTATCTTAAAATATTTACGAAGAAAAAAAATATTAAAATCTAAAAAAAAATAATTTACCCATCAATCTTTGGCAAGTAATTTTATGCGTCCGTCCGATGGACTTGACCTTAACTTCAACCTAGACTTTTGCCAAACACCGAAAAATAAAAATAATTAAAATATTTTACCTGAAAAAGGAAAAAAAATTCCAAGAAAAATATTTTACGTCGACACAAACGGAGTATTAATGTAACATGTTATGTGATTACAGACTCTCATTTTCTATGTAAACTGGTTTTTGAACTTGATATGGTGATTGAACCTGCAAGGACAGGATTTCTATATTTTATTGGTTGATCCAGCTGGTTGGGTCAGGTTTTCCAGAACACAGCACTGGTGATTATATCCATGGTCGAAATGTTGGTGTATATTATGATATCCGTAGTTATTCAAATACTTTGGTGTATGCAGGGTATCAAGGGAGTTCTATCTGAATACTGAAGAGTTCATCGATGCTGTTGCACAGTCTCTCAATTCAAAGCTTCCTGCACCTGCAATTGTGTAAGTTGATTTGTTATTTCTATGAGATGGTCATCTGCGGCGGCAGCTGCTTGATTGGGCCATGTACAGTGACCATACTGGTATACCTGCTTCCTGAGACATAAAGACACAATGAGCTTCTGAACTTTAGTGGGTGAAGCCATTTTTGACTGGCCAAGAGAATTTTTGAGGGGACCTAATATAGTAACACAACTGGGTTTGGCAATGGCAATTTAAAGATTTGCCTTCAATATAAAATGGTCAGGCCCTTTTAGGATGTTCGGTTTATTTATCACAATGTAGCTTGTACTGCTGACAAAATGGCCTCTCTTTTTTTATGGCAAATAAAACGGCCTTTGTTGCACTCTGGTTATTTTCATAAAGCTTTGTGCCCACAAGCATCTGCATGCATGGAAACCTAGACTTTTTCGCCTTGGTAATTTTATTCAATTCTTTTCTTGATTGTGATGTAAATTCAAATTCCTTGTGGTATTTGGAAGGTCAACTATGAAAAGGGTTAGGTGATGCACCAAAATATAAATGTGATTGCTTTTACATAATTTTTATTTTATAGAAGCTTACTATTGGTGCTCTTGGTAGCGACAGGACTTGTGATATTAGGTTAATGGCTTCTATTTGTGGAGCGCTGTGCACCCACGGCACATTACAGCCGTCCGCGTGTAAGGGGCGCGCATACAGACGTCTATGATGTGCCGTGCCCGTGGAACATTGTATATATTCTCCTAGTAGTGCAGAATATTAACACAGGTGCAGGGCAGTACTTTTACCCTATTAATTAGTAATTTTCATGTAATTGCAGAATGAAAGAAACTACAGTATCACTGAGTAACAACGTTGTTCCTAAACGGATCGACAGGATCATGAAGATATATTATGCTTGTGTTACCCCACTTGTGCAAAATGATGTGTAATTTGAATGATTGAGGATTATGATGGGCCTGTAACTCAACCAAGGGTTCCTGAATCTGATTGGACTTCTCTCTCTGCAGTAGTTATGCTCTTATTGGGATATATAGGGATCGCACAAAGTGATATGATGTTTAGGTGGCCAAATTACTGTTGAGTTCATAATTATCGTTGTCCTCAATCTCATATGAATGGTTCTGTCATAAATTATCTCCAATGATAGGTCCGAGTATTTGAGATACTATTGCTTTACACTTGGATAGATCAATTTTTATGATTTTTTAGAGTGGGTGATTGGAACCATATTGTCGAAAAAATAAAAAATAAAAAAATTGAAACCATGTTAAATGATATAGGATTGCACCATGCATAATATAATGTAATAAAATATCTTGATTTTACTGTGACAAGAAGATGGTAATCGATTTACAAATTATCAAATGCAAATATGTACTCGTATGCGAAACAAGGACAGTGAACAAACAATGCTCAAATATGGAACATGAATAAATAAATTTGGGTTTTCAATGATTATTATTTTTTTAAAAAAAATTTAAATTAATTATTGAAACCAATAATGCTATCCGCATAAAAATGTGATTATAAAATTTTGGGTTGTGGTGCATCAACTTTATTCATATGAATCTAGCGGAATAACAGAAAGATGGTCATAACAAATCATGCTATTTTTTTTTTGTTCATCACAAATCATGCTAATAAAGCATACAATTTGTTCATTAACAAATATAAGAAGCATCTCATTTACTTACAAGTTTAACTACATAATTACATATCATAAACTGTCATACACCAAACTATACTAATAGGGCAAAAAATGTCATGCACCAAACTAAAAAAACTCTCAAAGATTTTTTTACTTAGTAGTATATATTAATTCTACTTAAGACATGCTCATTCAGATTTGGCTGGAGCCTTAGGTTCACCTAAGTCCCCATCCAATAAAAAAGCCTCAATTTATTTATTTATTTTTAATTTTTAATTTTCATATATTCTAAGATATCTTAAATTTTAGTTACTTTCTATAATTAGGCCTCAAAACAATAGAAAGATTTAATGATGGGCTCAAAAATTTTCTATCCTTTCTCACTTTTTCTTTTTGCCTAGTGTCGACCCAATAAAAAAGTCCCAATTATTTTTATTTTTTTTTTCAATTTCAATATATTATAGCATGTCTTAAATTTAAATTACTTTCGCCTCAAACAATAGAAAATTTAATAATGGGCCCAAAATTTTTCTATACTTTCTCACTTTTCTTTTTTTTTTAAATTATTTTTTATTTTTTATTTTTTATTTTTATTCTTATCATTACACCATATGTAATTGTTAAATATATATTTAGGAGTTAGTTGTGGGAATGGGTGAAACTTTCCATATTCTTCCATATTCCAGTAGAGTCTCCCTCCTCTTTTTTTTTTTTTTTTTTTTTTTTTTTTTTTTTTTTTTTTTTTCACAATTCACACTCTCACTATCTTACTATATTTGAAGATTCTAAACACATTTTTATTATATTAAAGAATCTGTTGGAGTTCTGGAGTAGATTAATCAATTCTATAAATCTTTAACCTAAACATTTATAGAAGACTTTTTTTTTTTTTTTTTTCACAATTCACACTCTCACTATGTTACTATATTTGAAGATTCTAAACACACTTTTATTATATTAAAGAATTTGTTGGAGTACTGGAGTAGATTTTTCTAATCAATTCTATAATTCTTTAACCTAAATTAATTTGTAATTTTATCAATATTTTACTGTAAATTTTATAGTTTGTTTTTGAGTTGTGGTCATTTTTATTTATATGACATGAATCCGTCTATGAAAATAAGATGAAGAGAAAAATAGAAAAATAACAATAAATTTAGGAAAAAATTTAACAAATGTACAACCAAGTCTTCTTAAAAAATTAGAAGATAATATAATAATGAAAGAAATATATTTATGAATTTGTTTCTTATAAAAATGAAAATAATAAAAAATCTGTATTGAGTAACAAATGTGACATGGAGCCTGTATGAATCCGTGTATGAATAACAAATGTAAAAAAATTCTGTACGAAGAAAGTGAAGGTAAGAAAAAAAATCTTAATTAAAAGGCCCCTTTTATATTATTCAGCTAAGGCTTCAAATTACATTGAACTGCCCCTTTCTTTGCTTCAGTGTCATCTATCTATATCTGAAAATGAACAAATAAACAAATAAAATTACAAACTGAAATTTTATCTTATACTAGTTAAAGGAATATATGTATTGACATATATTAATTCGAACTAGAGTCATAGGTGCAAGGTACTCATTTATCAAAATATAAGCTAGAATCAAAAAGTATATTGACATAGTAATTTCCTGTGAAACAAATAGTTGTTACAAGAGATCGTATATTAATAACATAAAATTATTGCATACGTAATGTGAGTTATTGTAGAATGAAATGGCACAAGTAATGATTGAGATTGATACAAGTGATCATCGTAATAACTGTTACTAAATACACATCCAAATTCAAAATTCAACATCTATAATACCTTTAAAGAACGTTTTGCCTTCTCAAATGTTCATATAACACTTAAGAATTCCCCTAGTTTTGGATGAATCCACTAGATAAGACAAAAGCAAGTAACTTTCATATGGATTCTCGAAGAGTAAAAATCATGACCTATTTAATTTTTATCAGCCTATATTCCTTTAAGGGCACGATCACGATCATAGTCTGAACTTTATCCGATTTATGTAGAGAAGTAGCTTTGTACGGTCCTGTATGTGAATTAATCGAGGCAAGGTTATCGAAAGAAAAACAAAAAAAAAAAGAAAAAACAAAAAGGGCAAAAAAAAACTATTAGCCTATACATACATTTTAGGCTTCCCATTTTCATATTCCATGCATTAAGTAGGCAAAAAAAACCCAATTTTATCATCCATAACAACAAAAAGAAACTTAGCTTGAAACCCTAAAAATGAAAGGATACTCAGTAGAAATTAAATTATAAGACCGAACCTCCAACTGTAGTTACAGATGAACAGTGCACCTCCCCGAGCCGTTCATCATTGCATTATTAGTGGTACTTGGGAAAAACCTAACCATCACATTCTCACAAGTAGCCACTAGCCAACGCTTCATTGTTATTGGCATCCCATGTCTGAAAGTAACCCTAGCACGCACTTTAAAGCTGAAGGCAACAACCTCACTTGCCAAATCTCTAACAATGGCGTCCGCCACATCGTTTTGAACGCACAAAGATAACGCGGGAATCTCCAGCACCACCGATCCTTGGTACCTCTTTGGATGATAAATAGTGGTAGAAAAGTTGGCTGAGGACAAAAGTGTGCCCTTGTAGTAAACAAATACCTTGATATCTCTATAAGTAATGCTTGATCTCTCATTAGGGTTTGTGATATAGAAGCTTGTGTACCATCCAGCTGTTATCTCCGAGTTAGAGACGACAAAGGGAGAGACATTGACAGCGTTGATTCGGAACTTTGGAGGGTGAGGTTGTTGGAGCAGTAGGAAGAAGAAGATGAAGCCCGCGATGACGAAGACGGCAACCACCAGGAACATGAAGCACTGGATGGCGGGGGAGCATGGGCGTTGATATGGCGGGAAGTAAGGCCGGGGGGTATCGGCGATGGGTGGCAGAGTGTAAGAGCGAGTGGTGGTGATGCGAGTGGCGACTTCCATTGATGAAGGTTTGATAATTGAGATGAAAAATAGAGGCTGGAAGAAAGGGAAGGACTTTGTCCAATTTATTTATTTATTTTTTTTATAGAGAGAGAAACAAGATCTTTGTGTTTTTAACTTACCATTTATATATAGTTTATGTAAAGAAAGCGAGAAAGGAAGACTTTACTTACCAAAAAAAAAAACCAATGAAGAGGGGGAGCTTGATCATTGGGACGACAAATTTTTTTTTTTAATTATTTAGTGTTTGTTTGATTCTTGAGAAAGAGTGAGAAAGTTAAAAAGGAAAATACTCCTTTTGTTCTTACATGGAATCTAAGAATACGGTGGCAGAGTACTTTATCAATAAATCCCATGCATTATATATCATAGTTTTTTTAAAAAAAATCCAATGGAGTCAACTGTAGCAATTTTACTTATCAGAACTCATATATATATATATATATATGTATATATGAGGTAAAGTACAGCCACACCCCTTGAGATTTGACAAAAGGACACTCAGACGAAACTTACCTGTTTTTTGGACAAAGACACCTCCTGAAGGTTCAAAAATGGACAAAGACACCTCTTTACATGAAAAATTTGACCAAATTACCCTTTGACTATTTAAGAGACTTTTTTTACTTTACAATTTAATAAATTGGATCAATTTACCCTTATGAATAATTTATACATAAAAAAAAGTAAAAAAAAAAACTTTATAATGTTCACTTTTTTTTATTTTTATTATTTACTTTATAAATGTCCCAACTTCTTAAAAATGTAGACGTCTAAAATGCTTTTTTGATTCAATACATATATTTCAAATAAATTATATTTTGTTATTACTTCTTTTCTTTTTCTTTTTTATTTTAAAATTAACATGCTTAATTCTTTTGTCTAAAAAATTTAAACCAATCTTTTGTCCTTAAAAATAAAAAATATGGTACCAATATAACTTTATGCATTTTAAATTATATATCAATTATTATGCATTTCTTAACATAAAAGAAAATAGGTACATGTGTAACTTTATACATCTTAACTTTATGCATGCCTTTGTTTGTTTGTTTGTTTTTTTTTTTTTTTCCTTTTTTTTTTATTATTATTTTTTTATGTTGGGAAATGCATAATATTTGATATATAATTTAAGATGCATAAAGTTATAATGGAACCATATTTTTTATTTTTATAGAAAAGAAATTGGTTTAATTTTTTTAGATGAAAGAATTAAGCATCTTAATTTAAAAATAAAAAAGAAAAAGAAAAGAAGTAATAACAAAATATAATTTATTTGAAATATATGTATTGGATCAAAAAATCATTTAGACGTCTACATTTTTAAGAAGTTGAGACATTTATAAAGTAAATAACAAAAAGAAAAAGAAAAAAAGTGTACAATATAAAGTTTTTTTTTTATTATATTTTTTTATGCATAAATTGTTCATGAGAATAGATTGGTCCAATTTATTAAATTGTAAAGTTAAAAAATTCTCCTAAACGGTCAAAGGGTAATTTGGTCAATTTCTCATATAAAGGGTGTCTTTGTCCATTTTTGAACCTTCAGGGTATCTTTATCCAAAAAAAGGTAAGTTTCATCTGAGTGTTCTTTTGCCAAACCTCAAGGAATATGAGTGTACTTTACCCATATATATATATATATATAATTTGTAGCAATGTGTTAAAAGCCCTTCTCACAAAAAATAAATAATAATAATAAAGGTTTGAAAGCGTCTAATTATTCCTGCATGCAAAATCTGGAGGCAAATTTAGAGAAACTTTCCAAGGTTCTACCGAAGAGAGAGAGGCGAAAAAAAAAAAGAAAGAAGAAATTTAGGAGACCATCCCAAATTGGTGTTAAATATAATTGGTAGGTACCACTTCTTACACCATATTTCAATAAGACCACACTATTATTTATTTTTTTATTTATTAAGGCAAGAAGAGTTAGAAGTTAACTTAGTAGATACAAAGAGTTGAAATCAGAAACTGTAAAGTTCACTGGGGAGAGTTGAAGCCTCACACTTCAAAATTTACAAAAAACACTAATCCATTGAACTAGTTAAGAGGCATATGCAATCTTCTTCACTGAAATGTGAAAAATTTATATTTTCCTCTTATATATGCTTCAAATCATACAATTGAGAAAATATCATTACACTGCGTCGTTGGTTAAAGAAATACCGAGTAAATTGTTAACGGAAGAGTGCCATTTAAAAAATAAAAGAAAGAAAAAATTTCACGCATAAGTTAGTTTAAAAAATAATAAAAATAATCAAAATACTACTCGTAATAAGCCTTATTAGGTAGGACAAAGCTAAATAGGCCCAACACTTCAGTTTGAAGTGTTGGGCCCATGTGATCCAGTCCGAACACTTCAAGCTCAACACTAGTAGGGTGTCCTCTATTCACACTAATTCGACAGAATCAGTATATCTGAGCCCACAGGCCCACATAATCCAACTACTGACCTTTGCGTCAGTGGGTCTCAAATGACATTCTCGTCCTTTGTTTTTTGTTTTTTTTTTGTTCATCACAAATCATGCTAATAAAGCATACAATTTCTTCATTAACAACTATAAGCATCTCATTTAGTTACAAGTTTAAGTTGTTTAACTACATATCATAAACTGTCATACACCAAACCATACTAATAGGACTAGTTAACGAGCAAAAAATGTCATTCACCAAACTAAAAACTCTCAAAGATTTTTTTTTACCTAGTAATATATACGTTGGTCATCTAAGTCCCCAGTCAATAAAAAAACCTTAATTTTTTTTTAAATTTTCATATAGTCTAAGACATCTTAAATTTTAGTTACTTTCTATAATAGGCCTCAAAACAATAGAAAGCTCAAAAATTTCCTATAATGGACTCAAAAATTTTCTATCCTTTCTCACTTTTTCTTTTTGCCTAGTGTCGAGCCAATAAAAAAGCCCCAATTTATTTATTTATAATTTTTTTTCAATTTCCATATATTATAACATGTCATAAATTTAAATTACTTTCGCCTCAAACAATAGAAAATTTAATATTGGACCCAAATTTTTTCTATCCTTTCTCACTTTCCAAAATGTTTCTTTCCTTTCTCACTTTTTTTTTTTTTTTTTTTTTTTTTGCCTTTTTTTTTTTTTTTTTTTTCTTTTTCTTTTTCTCCTCTGTTATTATCATTACACCACACTTATTGAATATATATTTAGGAGTTGGTTGTGGGAATGGGTGAAACTTTCCATATTCTTACAGTCTTCCTCCTCTTTGTTTATAATTTTTTTTTTTTTTTTTTTTTTTTTCACAATTCACTCTCTCACTATGTTACTATATTTGAAGATTCTAAACACACTTTTATTATATTAAACAATTTGTTGGAGTACTGGAGTAGATTTTTCTAATCAATTCTATAATTCTTTAACCTAAATTATTTTTATTTTTATTTATATGGTTGAATAATGACTTGATTCATAATAATAATTAGATATGTGATAAGAAAAATATTTATGAATTTGCTTCTTAAAAAAAATAATAATAATAAAATAAAATAAAAAATCTCTATGAATAACAAATGTGACATTGAGCCTATATGAATCCATGTATGAATAACAAATGTAAAAAAATTCTGTACGAGGAAAGTGAAGCTAAGAAAAAAAATCTTAAGTTAAAGGCCCCTTTTATATTGTTCCTGAGACCTCAAATTACTTTGAGGTGCTCCGCCTTTGAGCTGCCCTGCCTTTGCTGCTTTGATCTTCAGCGCCATCTATTTATATCTGAAAAATGAATAAATAAACAAATAAAATTACAAACTGAAATTTTATATTCTTATAATAGTTAAAGGAATATATGTATTTTGTAAATTACTAGTCGATTAATTTATGAATTCATTGTTAATTCGAACTAGAGTCATAGGTGCAAGGTACTCATTTATCAAAATATAAGCTAGAATCAAAAAGTATATTGACATAGAAAGTCAGAAACAAATAGTTGTTACAAACGCGATGTAATATAGTCATACATTAATGATATAAAATTATTACATAAATAATGTGAGTTATTGTATAAGATACGTAGACACAATATGAAATGACACGAGGTGAATGAGCTTGATACAAGTGAAAATCATAATAATAACTGTTACTAAATACACATCCAAAATTCAACATTTATAATACCTTTAAAGAATGTTTTGCCTTCTCAAATTTTTATATAATACTTAAGAATTCCCCTAGTTTTGGATGAATCCACCGGGTAGGACAAAAGCAAGTAACTTTTATAGATTCTCGGAGAGTAAAAATCATGACCTATTTTTTATCAACTTATATTTCTTTAAGGGCACGAGACATAGTGTGAGCTTTATTCCGTTTATACAGGTTGATGAATAAGTTAGGGCTGGGCAAAGCCTCGGTTATTGGAAGAAAAAAAACCTATATGTATATATATGTATATGATTTTGATTTTCATGAAATTAGGGCTTCCCACTTTCACCTTCCATGCATTAAGTTGGCAATTAAGAAAACCCAATTTTATCATGCATAACAACAAAAAGAAACCTATCTTGGAACCCTAAATTAAAATGAGAGGATACTCATGCAGTCAGTTGAAAATAAATTAGAAGACTGTACCTCCAACATATTGAACAGTGCACCTCCCCGAGCCGTTCATCATTGCATTATAAGTGGTATTAGGGAAAAACCTAATCATCACATTCTCACAAGTAGCCACTAGCCGACGCTTCATTGTTATTGGTATCCCATGTCTGAAAGTAACCCTAGCTTGCACCTTAAAGCTGAAGGCAACAACCTCATTTGCCAAATCTCTAACAATGGCGTTCGCCACATCATTTTTGAACGTAAAAAGATAACGCGGGAATCTCCATCACCACCGATCCTTCGACCTCTTTGGATGATAAATAGTAGCAGAAAAGTTGGCTGTGGACAAAAGTATGACCTTGTAGTAAACAAATCCCTTGATATCTCTATAAGTAATGCTTGATCTCTCATTAGGGTTTGTGGTATAGAAGCTTATGTACCATCTAGCTGTTATCTCCAGTTAGAGACGACAAAGAGAGAGACATTGACAGCGTTGATTCGGAACTTTGGAGGGTGAGGTTGTTGGAGCATTACGAGGAAGACGATGAAGCCAGCGAAGACGGCAACCACCAGGAACATGAAGCACACCATGGGCGAGTGGTGACTCCCATTGATGTAGGTTTGATAATTGAGATGAAAAATAGAGACTGGAAGAAAGGGAGGACTTTGTCCAATTTATTTATTTATAGAGAGAGAAACAAGATCTTGTGTTTTTAACTTACCCTTTATATATAGTTTATGCAAAGAAAGCAAGAAAGGAAGACTTTACTTACCCAAAAACAAAAACAAAAACAAAAAAAAAAAAGAGAGAGGAGGAAAGACTTACCTTAACAATATATCTCTAGCTCTTTCCTTGATCATTGGGACGGGCGAAATTTTTTTTTTTATTATTTAGTGCTTGTTTGATTCTTGAGAAAGAGTGAGGAAGTTAAAAGGAAAATACTCCTCCTGTTCTTCCATGGAATCTAAGAATATGGCGGCCGAGTACTTTATCAATCAATCCCATGCATTATCATAGTTTTTTTTTTAAAAAAACCAATGGAGTCAACTGTAGCAATTTTACTTATCAAAAACCCAAATATATATATATATATATATATATAAGCAATGTGTAAAAAGCCCTTATCACAAAAAATAAAAAATAATAATAAAGTTTTGTAAACATCTAGTTGGTTTTTTATTTTTTTTTTAATTATTTTTTTTAAGATAAGAAGAGTTAAAAGTTAAATTAGTAGATATAAAAAGTTGAAGCTGGGAACTGTAAAGTCCACAGAAGGCACTAACTCATTGGGCTATCGAGACATCTGCACAATAAGATAAGAAGTGTTAGAAATTAAACTAGTAGATGTAGAGAGTTGAAGTTTGACACTTTAAAATTTACGAAAAATACTAACTTAGGAGGCATATACAATCTTCTTCATTGAAAAGTGAAAAAAATTACATTTTTCTCTTATATATGCTTCAATCATAACGCTGAGAAAATTTCATTACACTACATCCTCGATTAAAGAAATACCGAGTAAATTGTTAATGGAAGAGTGCCGTTTAAAAAATAAAAGAAAGAAAAAATTTCACACTTACATTAGTTAAAAAATAATACTCTTTCCGTCTCACAAAAAATGTCATGTTTAGGGAATCGTGACGTCACAGTTTCCCAAACATGATATTTTTTATGGAACGAAAGGAATAATAATAATCAAAATACTAATAAGCCTTATTAGGTGCGACAAAGCTAAATAGGCCCAACACTTCAAACTGAAGTGTTGGGCCCATGTGATCCAGTCCGAACACTTCAAGCTCAACACTAGTAGGGTGTCCGCTATTCACACGGTTTCGACAGAATCAGAATATCTGAGCCCACAGGCCCGCATAATCCAACTACTGACCTTTGCGTTACGTGGGTTCTCATCTCTCTCTCTCCGATTTCCTCTCGGCGGTGCTCGACATTGACATCTATTGCGGTAAGTTTTCCCTCTCGTATCAGCTGAAGATTTCATTTTTAATGGTATATGTGTGTGTACTTTGTGTAAACTGTTGTTTCAATGTGTGAGTATTTGTCTTTCAATGGATTCCACATGTTTGATAAATTGCCGCAATGGAAGATATGTCTTCAGAACCTTGATCTTCTGGATATGCAAATACACATATACGTATGAAACCTAGCAACCTAGCAATTGATGAATAGGTCAATTGAATGGCAGATTAGGTGAAAGCCAACTAGCCAAGTAAAGCCTTAGCATTGCACATTATAGGGACGTTAAAGTCTGAAATTTGGAGGCTTTTCGATCCTCACAGTAGTCAGGACATGTCTTAGCCTATTCATAGGTGTATAGATATGTGTATATAGATACAGGTATGGGGATTTGAAATTTTGGGGATGCTTAGCACATCTATTCATGGGTTCTTGAACTGCAAATTCAAATTGGTATGATCCATCATCCACAGCAGTGATCATTAATTAGAAATATTCTTTAGTTTAATTGGAGCTGGATTTTTAAACTTATATTCATATTCATATGTAGGTTGAGATATTAGGACAAATTTGATAGTTTGTGGTGGGTTAGCTGAGGCTATGACCTTAGATAGAGTGCAATGGCGAAAAAATATTCATATAGCTGAGCTCAATTAGTTGGGACAAGGCTTTGCTGAGTTGAGTTGAGTATCTATATATGTATTTTCCTTTTCTTCCTCACTCAATATATTGTAGCTTTGATTCTTCACATGACTAAAACCACCCGACCACCCTGCACAACCACTTGACAACAACTTTGAGCGTGTGGAATATCCAAGTGTTTAAGGATATTAAAGCAAGTAAATCATTAATGGACTGGGACTGTCAAGAAGAAAAGATAAATCTTGAAATTGAATAAACTGTTTTCCTGAAGCCATCTAGCTGATAACAGGCTTGTAAATGCTATTTTTGAGAGATTGTTCGATAGAGTTTAAATTTTCTGTTTTTGCCTTTTAATACAGTAGTGCTATTGTGCATTTTAATTTTTGTTCTAGTTTTTTGGTGTCCATGCCCATCTTCACTCCGAAATGCAACTGTTGTTTCGTTTTTTTTTCCTTCATGGCTTGACCAGAGCATATTTCTTCCTTGGTAGTTTGACTCTGATTGTTGAGTTTCTCTCCATGCACTTGTTACTTAAATTTTTTTCTTCCTAGAATTTGCATGTAAGGTTTTTGAGGTTGTTCCTTGTTGATCCCTTGATTAACAGGACAGCACCGGTTAAGACCCCTTTATTTATTATCCTTGTTGATCCCACTTAAAAGACATCTTTTCAAGTTTTGTTAATGTGAGTTAACCTCTGATTTTTTATTTGCTGATGTACTTTCCATTCGTTTTACCATTCTCCGGTCCCATTAAGTTCACCTTTTCTAATATCAGACCTGGTTAGTTATTTCAACTTTTACATGCAATGATTTCTGAAGGGTTCATATCATGAAAAATAATCATTTATGGTTGTTGACGCATGAGATTTTCATGGATTTACATATAAAGAAACAACAGGAATAATTAAAAGAATAAATCAATTTGTAAGGCCTTCAGTTCCGCTGTGCACAAGATGCAAACTGCTTAGATAATGATATTTTTTTTCCATGCTGCTCTAGTTATTCTCCTTACATATTCCATCTTTGGCAGGGACTTGCTTGTATTAATTCTTTAGGCTGTAAGAAAATTTTTAGGATGTTGCCTGTTGATCCCGCAAACAAGTTATCTTTTCATCGCTGCATTACTGGTGGAGATTTGGTTATTGTATATGAGAGGCATGACAACATGAAGGCTGTTAAAGTATGTGAGGGTTCGATTCTCCAGAATCGTTTTGGTGTATTTAAACATTCAGATTGGATTGGGAAACCCTTTGGGTCCAAGGTTTTCAGCAACAAGGGTAAATTTGTTTACTTATTGGCGCCAACTCCTGAGCTATGGACTCTAGTTCTAAGCCACAGAACTCAGATTCTGTATCTTGCAGACATCAGCTTTGTTATCATGTACCTAGAAGTAGTTCCTGGTTGTTTGGTTCTTGAGTCGGGCACTGGGAGTGGATCTTTAACTACCTCACTTGCAAGGGCTGTAGCTCCCACAGGACATGTCTATACATTTGATTTCCATGAACAAAGGGCTGCCTCAGCTAGGTAAAATATTGAGGTCCTTACATATGTTATTTTGTTCTAGTTTTTCTGGTGATATTGGGTTTACATGTTACTTATCTTTCTTAAAACCTTTCAAATTCTAACTGCAATCTAGGATTTATTAAATTGTTGCATAAATAGTTTGAACTGGAGTTTAAAATGTTATCGGTGAATTTATTTAGTCTGCTTCATTTGGTTTAAATTTGGATTGGTCACTCACATCAAAGGAGCAACTCAATTTATTACTACGTTGACGAGAATGTTTTTCCATTATCGTCAACAAGTACATTGGAAACTGAACAATGAAGTAAGCTGTATCTGTAGCTCATTTAATTTATGTGCTATGTAGCAAGTAACTTATCCAAGCCAACCTAGTGCACAAAATGGATATAATAATACCTTCTTCTTATTTTTTTCTACGTCAACTGAAAATTTTACTTGATTTCTTCTCCTCCTCCTCCTTGAATAGGGAGGATTCTGAGAGGACAGGAGTGAGCAGTTTAGTCACTTTTGGAGTCAGAGATATTCAAGGTGAGGGGTTTCCTGATGAATTTTCTGGGTTGGCTGATTCTGTCTTCCTGGACTTGCCACAACCTTGGCTGGCCATTCCTTCGGCTGGCAAAATGTTGAAACAAGATGGGATCTTGTGCTCTTTCTCACCGTGCATTGAGCAAGTGCAACGTTCATCTGAAACTCTCAGATCGAGCTTTACAGGTAACATTTTCTGCACCTATATATACACATGTATATACACACTTTTTTTGGGGTAAATTGCTAGATATTTAGCTTTACCAGTGTTTTTTTTTTTTTTTTTCCTTCTTCTTTTGTAATTAGGTTTGCTTGTTTTTGAAGAGTTCATGCTTTCTTTATACGTTGATTTTACATTAAAACTTTTAGCCGTCTGGCTGATTCCCAATCCACATAAATATTCATTGACAGATATTTATACAAATGATGTGTTTTTCTGCAGACATCAGAACCTTTGAGGTACTCCTTCGCACATATGAAGTTCAGGAAGTGAAAATAGATTGCTCTGAAGGTGATGAAGGGGGAATTCTTGGGTCTCCTCCTTGCAAGAGGAGGCATCGATCAAGTGAAGAAAGCAGCAGGCCAGAGATATCTTTTTCCACCAGAATCATGGCCAAACCATCTGGTGAGGCGAGAGGTCACACTGGCTACTTGACATTTGCAAGACTGAAATGCGCCTCATAGGATACAAACACGAATAAAACTTCTATCCACTCATGATTGAAGAGTTTTGCCCTCATTTTTGGTTTGCTTCATTATTGATTTGTTACTACTTCAGAAATTACTAGGATCATATTTAAATCTTGAAGGGAGTCATTGTAGCAGAAATTTTTGTTGATAGTAGTTATTGGCTCTTGTAGATTTCTGTTTTCTTTTAAATAGTAGGAGTTTGGTATAAATGCAAGGAAGTTTGGGCATCATCATCAGTACCCTTGCCTTATTCCTATATGAATGGGTCGGCCAAATGAAATCTCTCTCTCAATTCCTTTCTATTACCCGTGGTATCGCCCACCATGTTTGACACCTAAATCGAGTATGGTGCAGTTCAGCACATGCAACAAGAGAACTTTTATCTTAAGCAGCATCACTTGATTTAGGTGTTATAAATTACCATTGGTTTACAGATTTCTGGTAGGCTCATCTTAGAGATTGGATGAAAGCTATTTTCAGAAAAATATTGGGAGTGTTTTAGGGCACAATTCAACTGAGGTGCACATTTTGGTGGTCCATCCATGATTTTTTTGCATCAGATCACAGGGTCAAGTCAGAGCCTTACATACCACATCTTTTCTTTTCTTTTTTTCTTTTCTTTTTTTTCTTTTCTTTTTTTTTTTTCTCGGCAAATGTCGTACACATGACTATTTAGCTCTTTGATATCCATTCGTTTCCAACACTAGCCATACATTGTACTAACATCCAAAACTTAGATTAGTGACTGCTTTTCTTTCAACATTGAATGTTGAACAGAGAAATTTATACATGGTCTTTAGCTGTGCTCTTATTGTCACTTCAACTCTTGATCTTATATTAATATTTTTTAATTTTATTTGGTAGGTAGTACTCACACAGTTATATATGGCTCATACTTGAATTCTCATCCTTCCTTTAAAAAGTAAGGATTTGATACCATTGGACCACTAAACCGTTAGTTGATCTTATATTAATTTGCTCTCAAAGGGAATTTAAATTCAATTTTCTACTCTAAATTTGATCTTAGTCCAGATCTTATGCTATAAGGGGAGACTTCTAGATCTTATACTCTTAAAGATAAGAAAGTGCTATTATACTATAGTCTCCCTTGATTGATGATATTTTAATTTTAAGTAAATTACGAGCCCTAAGCACAAGGAGATACAAATGACTATTTGTTTGTTTGGGATTGCTCTAGACAAAAATTTATATTAAATGTAAACATTTTCTTTTAGATTTGTTTCGTAACACAAAAAAAAAAAAAAAAAAAAAAAAAAAAAAAAAAAAGGAAGATAGTTTTTTCAAAAGTTTTTTTTATAAAAAAAAAAATGTTCAGACACCAATTTTGACAACTCTACAAAGAAAATGAGAAAAATAAAATAAAATTATAATTTACAGAATGGATAAAAAGTATTATTACATTTTTAATGCCATGGTTGAAGATAAATTTTGATTCAAGTAAATAGAAATTGTAACCAAATACTATAATTTAGTGATATTTCTTAGTTTTTTAAATAAAAAATGAAGGTTGAAGTCTCTATTTGGTAAGTGTTTGCGTAAGTGTGTTTTATTTTATTATTATTATTTTTTTGCATCCCACAAAAGTAAAATAAAATAAATTAAAGTTGTAAGACAGTGAAGGAATCACACGATCTCGGCCGTTCATTTTTTGTCATCGCACGTGTCAGGTCTTCCATAAATTTTAACAGTGGATTAAGGCTTTTATGAGAAAGCATAACTCAACGTCGTCGTTTCTGTGACCGCCAAATTGCTTCCATGCAACGTTTGTGACTCTCCGCACTCTCATCAGAGTCGAAAATGGAGAGCTATGCATTAGCTGTGTCTCCGTCGACTCCGTTTCTGAAAACACGAAAACCTCCCAATCGAAACCCTAACCCTAAATTCAGTCCAACCTCTCTGTTATCTTCTGTAAAATCAATCGACCCCTCATTTCACAGAACTTTCTCTTTGCGTTCTGCTTCAAGCTTCTTCAACAATCGAGACATTGATTCATTTTCATTTTCAAATCGAAGGTCGAATGAATTCAAGGTCAAGGCTGCTTCGGCTCCCGGAAGCGCCGACGAGACTGCGAAGCCGAAGGAATTGAGTCGGACCTTTCAACTAGGGTCCATGTTTGCAATTTGGTACCTATTGAACATCTACTTCAACATTTGCAACAAACTGGTATTAAATTTCTTTTAAAATCAATTTTTTGATTTCATATTTCTTAGGAATTAATGTTTCCATTTTGTTTCTGCATAATACAGTAATAATAAAATGGGGTTTGAATTTCTTTTCTTCCTTTTTCTTTGCTCAACTCTGTGTGACATGGTCTGAGTTGGTAGCAGTACTATTTCATTTGCTAGAGTCACTGGTACAATATGGAATTTGAAAGTTTAAAAATAAATTATACTTAGATTTATACACACACAAACACACACTAGCATATTAAATACTAGTCTACCTTTGTCCTTGTGGCTTTGGGTCTTACTTCCCAAGCCCTAGGTCGAGGTTTTGAGATTGATAGAGAGAGAAGAAAAGTAGCTTTGGGTCTTACTTCCCACGCCCTAGGTCGAGGTTTCGAGACTGTTAGAGAGGGATTATATATATATATTATAACTGTCAATGAATGCAATTGAACAATTTATGCAGTATGCCTAACAATATAGGCAGATAAATTAATTTGTATGAATAATTAAAGTCTAAACCCAACAATAAAACAGCCAATTTTGCTTTTTAGCGGTTCTATTGAAGTGGTGTGTGTGTGTGTGTATAGGGAGAGAGAGAGAGAGATCGAGGAGTTTAATACTACTGCATGTTACAGGTTCTGAAGGTCTATCCATTTCCAGCAACAGTAACAGCATTTCAGTTCGGCTGTGGGACCGTGATTGTTATTTTAATGTGGGCATTTAATCTCTATGCAAGACCAAAGATTAGTAGATCACAGGTATATTTGTTAGTGAATTATTTGTTGTAGTTTTGTTTGTATTGATATGATATATATGTGCTGCAAATTTTAAATGTTATATATTGACTTTGCACTTTGCAGCTTGCAGCAATTGTGCCATTGGCTGTGATACACACAATGGGCAACCTCTTGACCAACGTAAGTCTTGGAAAAGTTGCTGTTTCATTCACCCACACAATCAAAGCTATGGAGCCCTTCTTCACGGTTATCCTCTCTGTCCTGTTTCTCGGGGAGGTAAGGATTTTGTGCTGTGTGCTATGTCTTTGGACTGTCATAATTTAGGGTAATATACACTCTTGATTTGTATGGTGAAATAGTATGTGTTAAATTATGTATGAAAATCGCAGAACAGAAATTTGGATTATTCAAGTTATGCAGCGGTTAGATTAACGAAGAATTCTAGCCGTTTTTCTCTCTATTAGTATTTTCAGTTGTGAGATGCTTGAACTTTCTTTCTGCCAATCTAATGGGAAATCAATTTGTTTGGAACTCCTTCACCCTTTTCATATTGGTGCTAATCAAAGAAATGCAAACTGATAACTAATGTAGGACAGAGAAAATGAGATAAAAAATTAGAAAGAATGATATTGAAGTTTATGCGTGTTCCAAAAATCCATCAGGATCATTACTTGGTGCAATTGGATACGAGTTTTAATCTAAGAACAGACTCAAAGTTTGTCTGTCTTCCGTCTTCCTCTCTTAGCACCTCATGTAAGCTAGACATACACGGAGTAATGCACTAAAAATAGAGGGGGTGAAAATAATTTTGGGTCATTTAACTCTTTACCTCAAGAACTGGAAAGTTAGGGCCCATCACTTGTATATTATTGAAGGAAGGATGCTGACTTTTACAATCTTTTAGGAATTTTTAGTCCTCCAACTAGGGTCACATATGATTTTTTCATGCACATGGATATTCCAATTCAAATGCAAGTTAGTGATTTTCGATATAGATTATAAATAGGAATAGGGATTCTGATCCTATTTGTATCTTAATTTGGGTTACTTGGAAAAGTAAAGCTTTGTGGTTTTCTGTGTAACTGAATGTAGAAAATGATTGTATTTGGGGCTTTTGGCACACATTTGAGTTGGGTTGCTTGTTATCTTATGTATATTATGCCTATATATTTAACATTGAACTAAAATCCGATGTATGTAACAAAGGACATGCATGGAAATTTGTTTTCTATCCTGTTTAATTATGTTTTCTTCGGCAAATTCCGAGTATTTTTACTATGAAAATCCATGCTAGTGGAAAGATTGTAGGATAACATTTGGATTTCAGTTCATATACCTTTACTGGATAATCTATATCGTTATAATTTCAGTTTTAATGTGATTATCATGTTCACACAGAGACCCACTTTCTGGGTGGTCTCTTCCCTCGTACCAGTTGTAGGTGGAGTGGCATTGGCATCCTTCACGGAGGCCTCTTTTAATTGGTATGATATCGTTCCAAAGTTCTATAGTGAAAGTGATTAAATGCAATTCTGGCACATTATGTCATCTTTTGTATTGAGACAGGATAGGTTTCAGTACTGCAATGGCTTCCAATCTGACCAACCAGTCACGTAATGTACTCAGCAAAAAGCTCATGGTTAAGAAAGAGGTTAAGTGCATAACCAAGATGCAAGATTTTATTTTTCCACTGTCTTTTATTGTTAAAGAGTTTCGTAATCTGTTGCTATGCTAATGCAATCGGAACATGATTTTTCCTCTCTTGATTATTGCACAATAATTTTGTTAGTCATTAATATAAAGTCAATTCATCTAAGTTTTTCTCTTTTTCCTTTTTTTCTCTTTTGAATTTGTCTTGCAATTACAATACTCTCTGGTTGGTTTGGGCTCATAACCAGCAATCTATCTAAACAGGAGTCTCTGGACAATATTAACCTCTTCTCGGTTATAACAATCATTTCTTTTATCCTGCTGGCACCGATTGCTATTTTCATGGAGGGCGTTAAGTTCAGTCCGTCATACCTGCAGTCTGCTGTAAGTACTATATTCAAAAGCAACAGATAATCTTAAACTTGCTATCATTTTTTATGTATACAATTCACTAGATATCTTATATTGGTGCGAGGTCTTCGTTACTGTGTTTCAGGCAAGTCAAGGGTTGAATGTCAGAGAGCTATGTGTGAGATCTCTTCTGGCTGGGTTCTGCTTCCATACTTATCAACAGGTGAGGTTTTCCCGTATCCCTTGTATTGTGTTTGCATAACCTGCATTCACTGCATTTGTCATCCGTCTATGATAACTTGCCTGACATTATGCTCTGCTTCATATAGCCCAGAATACTGCAATTTAATCATAGATCAAGCGGATTTTTTTTTTCTTTTTCATGGCACCTATGTTAAGCAACATGATAATGCAAAATTTTTTTACTGATATATGCGACTTTTGATTATCTTGAAAGCTTGATAATGCCAAAAAATTTACTGATGAATTTCAGGCAAGCACACGCACAAAATGTATTTATTTCATATTGGTTTCTGACTGGCAGGTTTCCTATATGATACTACAAATGGTATCACCGGTGACCCACGCAGTGGGAAATTGTGTGAAGCGAGTGGTGGTCATTGTGTCCTCAGTGATCGTCTTCCAAACACGAGTCTCACCCATAAACTCCCTTGGTAAATTCCCCATTCTAATAGTTGGTAAAATAAAGCAAACTGTTAGTTTAAGGCTCTTGGTTAACAACACTTCAACACTGACTAGCTTTTGTTGCAGGAACCGCCCTGGCTCTCATCGGAGTCTTCCTGTATTCACGAGCGAAGCGGATAAAACCAAAGCCAAAGGCTGCTTGACTCAATAGTGTAAGCAAGGAAGAGCCAAAGGAGAAAAAAAAAAAAAAAAAAAACACTTGGTAACTTACCCCAAAACTTGTGAAAAAAAGGAAAAGAAAAAAAAAAAAGAGGGAGAAAAGAAGAGAGGGATCGAGAGAAAAATTGTAAATCACGCGTATTTTAGCCTGATTATCTCTCCCCCTCTATCTGTATGTGTGTCTGAAATATAACTGGATTCATAGAAGTTGGATCCTTGATTATTTAATGAAGAAATCTTTTCTTCATCATTGTTTTCATATTTGATAAAGGATACACTTAATTGACATTATGCGTAGAAGGTGCCGTGGTGACTGATAGCATCAGAATTCTAATCAGCACTTCCTAGGCAACACAGAGTCACTGCTAACGCGGGGCGGGGTTCGGGGTGTTCCGATATAAATATTTTTTTATGAATAAATTGAAGAAGAAAAAATTTGTATATATTTTTTGGGTAGTGTGGTCAAATATCTAAAAAGGTGTTAAAATTTAAAATTATCATATGAAATAAAGGTAAAGGAAAATTTATTGCTAATAAATAGATATTCATATATCAATTATTGAGGGCGGGTTGTGACCTTTAAACTCTATTCCAAACACGGCCCTCGGATTATCCCAAACCCATTCCATTAGAGAGGGCAGGTTGGGTTAAATTGGGTTACATGACAGCCCAACACTAGTACCAACCATCTAGAAGCAACATCCCAATGTCACATAGACCCGTATTGGCAGCTTATCTCCGCACTTAAAACGACTATTTGAACTGCATTTTCTTGAAAATCATCACTTTTAATTCAAATTTGCACTTCATTTTGATGACAGGTGGGGTACAAGTTCAAAGTAATTGTGGTGAAATTTCAAATTTAACATCGTGCATATTCACATTCAAAGGAGGAAACACGCAACTGCTGCAAGTTCAAACTAAAGTTGGTGAAAAAGTTCAATTGGTATTTTACACTAAAATACCATAGTGTATTCCACCATGGAAATAATCATAGGTTTGTGCATTTTCCAGAAAGTATTAACAGAACAGTACAAATAAACAACTGTAATCACCACTAGCATGAATGTCACGAAGACTTAACATTCCATACACAACAAAACACATGGCCAACAAGGGCATCATTGTTTCACATCGTCAACATTTACCAAAGCTATAGCCTATTAATATTCTAACTAAACTAAAACTAAACAAACAGAACGCACAATGTAAAAGATACCTTGGCCATTAAAAGCTGTACTAATCCGAGTCTTTGGCTCTTTAGAATTAGGAGCAGTTCCACCAAAAAGATAAGTCAACTTAGATACCCCATTCAATTGTTACATTTACTATTCCCCCGCCATAATTCTACTACAACACTAACCAAAGCAACCAAAAAAGGAGAGGACCAGAAAACAGAGACTAACCAGTCACTTAAACTCCATACGAGGCAATGTTGACTGAGAGGAGCCCAAGTATCCTCCCTAACACGGGCCATCTTCATCCTGCCTTATCATACCTTCCTCCTCTTCTTCCTCCCCAAGGAAAGAAGGAGGTGGTCCATCACCCTGTCCACCACCTGATGATCTTCCCCACTTATCATCATGTGATCCCCCAAAGTTCTCCCTCCCACCACCATCAGCTGGGGATCGTAAGCAATCACGAGGACGACTCAGCAGATCAGGGGGTGATCGAACCTTTTCTACCATGGCTTTATGAAAACTCTGCACAGGGGAACGTTCACGTGGTGGCGATCGAGCTCGCTCCATCATTGCTTTATGAAAACTGTTCACTGGGGAGCGCTGATGTGCTGGTGGAGCCCTGTCATATCTGTCAGGACTACGACTGCGGCTGCGGGCCCTGGTCCGGTTCTCTCCCCATCCTGACCCCTTGTTGGGGCTTCTGCTTCGGCTGCGAACTTCATCCCCAGCACGACTCATGCTAGAATGGAAGCTTTTATGATAGCTCACAGGTGCATCCCCATCATGAAAACCACGGCCCCCGCCTCTTTCAGAGGAAGAAAACCCCCAACTACCCCCCCTTCCCACATCCCCGCCACCATAACCCGAATCATACCGACCTCCACGGCCTCCATCGCGTCCACCAGATCCAGAACCCCATCGTCTAGATCTGCCCATCCCACCACCATGCGAGGCCATATCACGAATCTCAACTGGGACACGCTGGTTTGCTCCTTCTAAAACTTTGATGAGATCTGAAGCATGCTTTGAATCCTGATCACAGAAAAATGTGTAAGCAATTCCAGTGGCACCTGCCCTTCCCGTCCTTCCAATCCTGTGAACATAGTCCTCTACTCCAGTAGGAAAGTCATAATTGACAACCACCCTGTGACAGAAATTAATCATTACCACTGTAGTCACAGCTTTATAATTTAAAATTGCAGCAATCAGAGAAGAAACAGAAGTTATAGAAAGACGACAACAAACATATAAATATTCAAAAGGATAAGCATATGAATCTAAAACAAATCATAACTAAACGACAATGCAGATCAACAAGTCAGCTTCACCTTTTTCCAACTTCCGTACACACAAATGACATACATCAAGCAATCACTGACCTGATATCTTTAACATCCAGCCCACGAGCTGCAACGTCGGTGGCTACAAGCACTGGAGACCTCCCAGTGCGGAACTGGCTTAATACATGATCCCTCTCACCCTGAGATTTGTCCCCATGAATAGCAGTAGCCCCAAACTGACGGGATAGATTACGGGCAAGTTGATCACACATCTTCTTGGTTGAACAAAAAATGATAATCTTAGAACCTGGTTCCTGTGATCGCAATATCTGCTCCAGCCGTCTGTGTTTCTCCATGGGTGACAAGACTTCAATATGCTGCCAAAGGCCAAAGAAAAAAAAAATTGTACATATATAATGTCCAATACAAAACATTATGGAGAAACAGTAGATCCAGATTATGATAAAATATTTAAACAAGAGAATGGAAGAAAATGAAAGGGAAAAAAGGATCTCACCTGGGTGATAGATTTGTTTGCAACGAGTTCATCAACATTTCCAATGTTAACCTGAACGGGATTAACCAGCAGATCTGCAGCGATTTTACGAACCTCCTTTGGCCAAGTTGCAGTATACATAAGGGTCTGACGGCGAGCCGGAACCTCTTTCACGATCTTCCTTATCTGAGGTTCAAATCCCATGTCCAGCATGCGGTCCGCCTCATCTAACACCAAATAGGAAACTTGATGTAGACTGATTCTTCTCATCTCCAGAATATCATTCAGACGACCAGGAGTTGCAACCACAATATCTACACCTCTATCTAACTCTCTTAATTGGGGACCCTTTGGTGCTCCTCCATACAAACACTTCAACAGAAAAGTATGTGAACAACCGTCAACCAATGATAAAAACAACAATAACCAAACAAGAGAAAGTAATTCATTAAAAAATCACATGTGAAACAAACAAGTAATAATTTTACAAAACATGAGTCAAGCAAATCAATTGGGCCTATATCACCCACCCTTTGAATGAATTATAAATCTGGGACAATAGATGAACAAAATTCTACAAGTTAAATAAATAATAAAGATGACAAAAGGATGTCTATGACCACATAGATCTAAAAATGACCATGAACCTAGAAATGATAACAGCATAATGAATCTTTCAGTAAATATTTCGGTACTAGAATATCTTAGATTATCTTTTATTTCAAATGAGTTGCTACTATACCAAATCACCGTATCCATACAAGGAGTTTCATAGGAAATTTTTCTTACTCAAATTCTAGATAAGTATATAATGTATTAATGTCATTCAAGAGATATAGATGAGGCAGAAATGACCAGCCAAGCATCCCAAATAATCTTCAGAGCGAACTTGAAGGAAAACTAGCGTACAGAAATTCTAGTCCATCTTTAAAGGAAAAAATAATTTATTGCACCAGAACACAAGTAGCATATTGAAAAGGCATCATACCGTGCAAGCTATCTTAGATGACTTTCCGAACTTCACAGCTTCTTCTTGTATCTGTGTGGCCAACTCCCTAGTCGGTGACAACACCAAAACAGTTGGGCCCATTTGAGGATTATTATGGCGGCGCTTGAGATGAATAAAACATGGAATCAAGTAACCCAAGGTTTTCCCTGAACCAGTCTTGGCAATGGCTACTATGTCGCGACTTTGAAGAGCAATTGGCCATGATTGTGCCTGTATTGGAGTAGGGGCAGAGAACCCTGCATTGTGTACCTGGAAAAGCAAAAACCAGTAACCCCTGTAAGCAGAGGTACCGGCTTCAAGATTTCTGTTTCGTTTCTTTTTGGACTTATGGATGAGTAGAGCTAATGCAAGAAGAAGCACCATCCCCCATATGCAGGCAGCCAACGCTTGCTCACGCAAGCTAGAGCAGGAGGAGGCCTCTTCTTCTGTTCGGACCAAGTGGCAGACTGAATCATCACCAACGGCAGTCCCAGTCATGAACATGGGTGATTCGGAAAGCCCTTCCCAAAAATTGGTCCGCTGCATAAGGGCGCTCCAAATATATGCAAGCCCCCCAAAAGAGGGCGGCACAGCGTACGACATTTAGCTCCTCTCTGGAGCAAATATCGCACCTGCGACAAAAAAAGTACAGATGGAAAAAGATGAACATGAGTCCTACAACTCCATGGACCTCCAGTAATCACAGAACATCGTGCTGAAAAACTCTAGTTATATAGTTTTGTAAACTTACAAAGACTACTGGCCGCCAGTGAGTTGCATAAAGACAAAAAAGAAAAATAAACATTGATACCTCTCTAAGGAGTTCTGATGGGAAACCGGTAGCTTCAAATGATGCGAATGGTGGGGGTACATCCGATCCCTGGTGGAAGTGGCCAATCAGCAATAAACATCAGCAGTTGTAACAAAATTACTAATTACTTGTATATGAGAAATGTTATACATACATGAGCACACGCATAGTGTAAAACAAAATGAAATCCAATAAGACAACAGCAGAATCAATAAGATCATAATAACTCAACCAACTAGTGTAATGCTACAAGCCTACAACACTGAACAATCATCTCGTTTTAAAAGCGTGCTTGGATTTCAAAAGAAGTCACGACTCCTACTTTTATTGCAAGCACAAAAAATATCAAATCATTCTAGTCTAAAAGCAAGATCAATTTGGGATGGAATCATTATGATGCCATAATTTTTATTCCTTTTTCCCTGAATTACCTCTTCATACTGTTATAAAAAATAAAAGGTTCAAAATGATGACCCAAAGGCAGCCAACATATAACCAAGACATACCTCAATAGAAGTGCACAATCCAGGTCAGATCCCTACTTAAAACTCAAAATCCAAGAACGCAATGAATCAAATCATGCAGAATTCCATAAAAATATCACCTATGAATTATCATCCTCATATATGATTCAAGCAGAATTAAGTATTGCATATTTGCAAGTGTTCTTTAATCACACAAGCAACTAAATAGATTACACACATTAACTAAGTATACTAAATTTTCAGAACAGCCAGAAAGGATTGATTAACCCAATCGAACAAAGAAAAAAATGCAGCACTGCATGGCTTGCCAAAGGAGCACCATAAATATTAGTTATAGATATGAAGAAACCTGATTCAAAAGGTAAAAAGATACTTACCGAAACAGTTATTTCATGTCGACGGCAATACTCTGCAGATGAAACACTTCCTACACCTGATGATGCATAACCTTTGGCAGAAGACCCTCCATGCGCAGCACCTATGACCCCATTTGGAACATTATGAGAATTATCTGATCCACCTCTTGCACTCTTAACAAAAAAATGAAAGAAACCCTTAAATCAGCTCTGAATGATGAGTGAAGATAAATCACAACAATAGGTTAAAAAGTAAAAGCAAAAATCCATTATCCGACGATTATTAAAGAATTCTGCTGCATGCACCCTATGATTAACAATACTGATAATCCTACACACCACAACTTCAATCTAAGATATTTCATCACATCTTAACAATAGACATGACTACCATCAACAACAAAACTATCAATGGAATCACTTTAATGGGACCATTAATAGAGAACCAAAGTTTGCAAGATTTAAACCGTGTCATGTATTCTATCCAGGAAAAGGATAGTTTTTTTCCATGACTACAACCTCTTGATGAGCTAAAACTAAAAACTAAAATTATATACAGATTTGAAGGGTAAAAACTTGCATCTCCCAACATCAACCATATCCCATCATGACCCCAGCGGGGTTCGGTTTGGAATTAAATTTTGCCTCACAAGAATGAAATGAGATAATGATGCCCCGAGCCCATTCACATCCTAGATATAACCACGAAGGATCACCTCCCTGAAGATACATGGAAGAACTTATTTCTCTGCCAAAGGTAATAAATTCATCACATGAGCAGGTTTTAAAATTTTAAAATGGACAAAAAATAAAAAAAAAACATCCTTGAATTGGTACTTTGGACAAGTTATCCGTGATCTAGATGATTCTGCAATAGCATGCAGAATATTACTCAGAATATTGCAATTATAATGGTAATTGAATGAAGTAACTGTGTCCTGGTAAACATTTTTTTCCAAGTGTTCCAACACATTATTATTATTATTATTTTATTTTTTTGTTTTATCGAGTAAGATTAAGGCGCTCAAAAGGGGAGTGCTCCCAAAGGAAACGACTACACTATAAACACATTATTTCCTTGGCATAGGCAATGAAGTTAACTTAGAACAACAGAGAATGCTCAATGGCATGAAAAATAACAAGAGGTCAAAAACAGGACAAGCAACATGCAAGATTCTGCAAGTCAAGAGCAAGAATTCTCATTCTGCTCCACGATCCAGCAAGTTGATAGTTTTGAGTAATGCAGCAAACAAAACAAAGTGTAGAAACATTAAAAGAAATGAACACCACTTAATGAACAGAGCTTAAAAATGAAAATGATAAAATAACAACTGGAACTAAAAAACATACCTGGTGACTCCTTCCATCCATAACAAGCTTTGACACACTATTGCTACCTCTGCTATATCTATCGTCATCATCATTGGAACAGTTGTCCCGGCGCTGTCCTTGAGAGGATTGTTGAACTTGAACTGAAGAACTTATAGGCACCGAAGAGGACTTCTGTGGCAAAGCTGAACCCACATTTGAAGAGGCAGCAGGCCTCTCATACTGGGTAATGTTTGTCTCTGGATTCCAGAAGTAAAGATAACCAGTTTTACCATCAACTAGGCCTCTCCATGGTTTGGGAAGAGTTGGGTCCTCTGGTGCATATCGTGGGCCAGTGGATGATGCAGTTGCAGTAGCAGCCATAGGAAAGCTTCGTTCTCAATGATCCTACAACAGTATGAGATGGCAGAATATAAAATAAGATGGGGGTTCCAAATAATGGGAAAATGATGAAATGGAGAACTAGCATGCTGCATGCAAGATTGACCTTGCCTAGCAAACATAATTCATCAAACATTTTTATACCAACCAATATTTAAATGACACCCACTGTATCATAACCTTTTAAGAAGCAAAAACATAACCCTAAACTTAGTTCAAAGTTCAAACGAATTATCTCCCTGTTTCTACAAACTAAATTACACAAAAAGGTAAAGAATTTAAATATACAGCGTTGAACCAAATATAAATGGCAAAATTTGAATAGAGTTGAGGAGTACAAGCAGTATAAGGACATCTTGAGAGAGAGAAAATATGAATCAACAAGAAGAAAGCAAATCCTGTTCTGAATCATCTCAAACAAATTCAATATGCACCTCGTGAACAGTTAACTCGAGAAAGAGAATACAAAAACAAAAAACAACTTACGAACTCTAAAACCAAAAATATTTTCATATACATGAACATAAAAACAAATGCATGAATATATGCATACATGTTTACTGATTTAATTAGCTCCAGATCCAAAAACAACCAACAAAACTGGATCTCAAACAAGTAAAAAACGAAGCCTTCCTATAACAGAAGAAGCTGAGGTGCTAAACAACCAAAATAGTGAAATTCACCTAGAAGAAAGCAAATTCTTCGGCTCATAGAGCAAACAACTAAAATCGACCTCAAAAAACCCCTAATCTGAACCCTAAACTAAAGTATCATCAACTACAATTAGGATACAATTAGGATACAAAACAGACGCTAAGAATTTGTATTCAGATCTGAGACATTTCAAACCCTAAATTATTTGACATCTATACAGTGAATCGTACCTATGATGAAGATATGGGTCGAGTACCGGTACAAAGCGATGGCGAGAAATGCTCCACTTCTCTGACGGGCCTTCTTTCTCTCTCTACGATCGGCGATGGAACTACGCTTCCGGAGGCCGAGAAGCGTAGAAAAATGGAGAGAGAGAAAGAGGGTGCGTTTGATGTGAATATTTATAGCCCACAGCGAAAGATATTGAACGAATGTGGCTCGTTTGATTGGAATAAAATTATGTGCTTAAAAAACAAGAAGAAGAAGAAGATTGGAATAAAATTATACCATGGTTACAGGACAACTGTTTACCTATAGTTAAATTGGAAACCCCGAACGTGACCATGTAAAAGGTAAATTTGTTGGTTCAATTAAATGGGTTGGGCAGGTTGGGTTCATTAAAGTCTGGTTCAACCTAGCTTGATTCAATTCAAAAAAAATTTTACCTCAATTTCGAAATTAAGTTGAAAATCATATTGATTTGAATATGGATACAAAAAAATTTAAAATTTGATTGCAATTATATAAAATGTTGTAATTAAAATCTCAATAAATTAACTCTCTAATTGAATAATATACAACAAAATAACGATTATAAATATGTATTATATATTTAGAATTATAAATATATAAAAAGTGAAGTTAAAATTTTAATTCGGTTTACTACTTTCTTAATCTGAGTTGAACGATAATTATATTTACAATTGCACGGGGTTCTCTTGAATTTGTGTTGATTGAAAATGGCTCGTTGTTTGATGATATGAACTCACATGACAAACAAATAAGTAGTAAAATAAATAAATAAATAAAATTTTATAATAACATTTTTATAATTTATCTTTTAAATTAGACCATGCACAATTCTCATTTACTGAAATGAAAAAAAGGTTGAGGATTCGATAAAAGAATAATGTTACGTTTGGTGTGGAGGAATGGAATGCCCATTCTAACAATTCCTTTGTTTGGTATGCAACTTAAAATGGGAATGGCCATTCTATTGGAATGAAAATCCATTCCACAATTAAACCTATAGAATGGTCATTCCATTCCCAAGTAATTCATTTGAAAAAATCGACTTCTCAAAACACCCTCATATTCCAAATTCAAAAACCACCATGACCTCCTACCACAATCATCTCCGCATTTCACAACCACCACCACTACCACTGCCTTCTTCCACCACCGACTTTCACCATCGCCCACCACTTTCCATCACCACCGCCGCCATCGCCTTTCACCACTGCAACCACCTTCCACCACTACCATTGATACTGCCTTTCACCACCACCATCGCCACCGCTACCGTCTTTCACCACCGCTATCGCTACCGTTTGCCGCAACCACCACTGCCACCTTTCACCACCACTACCGCTACCACCTTCCACCACCACTACCGCTACCACCTTCCACCACCACCATTGTCATGTTTTTCAACACTTTCCATTATCACCGCCACCATAGCCTTTCACCACTGCCGCCACCAACAACACCGCCATCGCCTTGCATCACCGCCATCGCCTTCTACCACCTTCCATCACCACTACCTTCCACCACCTTTCACCACCACCACCGCTAACCGCCACCACTACTACCACCGCCGCCACTTTCCACCACCATCGCTACTCGCCACCACTACTACCGCCACTTCCACTGCTTTCCACCACCACCATAGTCATCACACTACTGCCACCGCCTTCCACCAACACCACTACCACCTTCTACCACCACTGCTGCCACCAATTTCCACCATTGTCGCCACCGCCACCTTCCAACACCACCACCTACGCTACTACCGCTTTCCACCATCCACCACCGCCACTGCCACCATTTATTTTTAAAAAATTATTAGAGAATATCATTTTGTTAATTTAATTTAATTTATTTGTTACTAAGAGAAATATTTTGGAGAATTCAATTAGAAATTTATTCCATTTTAAATTTTAAATTAGTCCAACCAAACACTATAATGGTTATTATCATTCCATTCCTACACATTTTATATTTACAACTAAACAATAGAATGAGAATGACCATTCCATTCCATTCTCATTCTCATTCCATTCTCATTTGCATTCTATTCCATTTCTGCACACCAAACGTAGCATAAGTATACCCAATTTCGTCAAATAAAAATGAGGTATTAGAACGCAAACTTATTTATGTCAATAGCTTCTTCTTTTTTTTATTGTTCTCCACATTAGTGATTTCAAGTACCTCGGCAGTTAACAAATGATTTACTTCTCACTAAGAGAAATCAACTGGTCAAAATATTGAGGGAATTAGGGCTTACTTGGTAATTTTGAAAACAATTTTTTGTTTTCACTTTTCTGAAAACAAAAAATTATATAAATTTTTTGCTTAATTTAGTTTTTTAAAAATTTAGTTATAAAAATGTCTGTTTTCGTATAACTTTCTTTTATAGTTTTTTGAAAATAGTTTTATATTTTGAGAATTTTTGAGAACTGTTTTTTGAATTACAAATCAAACACATTCTAGGTTATTATCTGACATCATATTCGGATAGATAATGTCACGAACTTGTATAAGTGAGTATTTAGTACTAGGGTCGTGATACTCAGACTGACGATTTTAGCCTATTTCTTAGGCAGAATCCAATGTGGCAGTCTGGTAATGAACCTAAAAAATCGCGAACTCAAAATGGTAATGGCAAGCTTGTAGCAAAGATGGCTGGGTAAACCCACTTTGATTTCTTTCTAAGCTAATACCGAATCTAGCCGATTAGTTCAGTCACCGGTGCTATTCAGTCGCCGATGAACATTATACCTCCAGTAACAACACCCCAAATTGACAAAACAACCCCATCCGCCCACCACCCAAACCACCATCCATTCGCAACTAAACCATACCTGCAAACCAGAATCAAAATCGCAACCCCAAACCTCCATTACCACCACAATCAACCTAAACACAGAACCAACCCAAAACCCAATTGAAAAACAAAACAAAACAGACAACAACAGTGGACAACACAAATCCCGGTCTGAAGAATTGAAACCAACCACCACTGGAATCTCGCTATTACAGTCACTATTCGACGGCGTTTCAGTCCACTTCACCTCCGTTCCATTCTCCTTCCTCGTTGCCGACAGTCTCATCAGTACCATCTGTCTATCGCCGGCGTGCAAACGCTCGCCTTCAGCCCGCCATCTTGGTCACCGAGCAGTTCCCTGTGCTCCTTTCTTCCTCGCTGCAGTTCTTAGCCTTGATTTGTTTTCAGCCATCCTCACTACATATCAGGATCAGTCCTCACCGATCTTTGATTTATTGCCCCCAAACCCAACATCAGAGGGCAAAACGAGCCCCCCCATTGCTCTAAAACACAAAATCTCCATCAGCCTTGTTGAGCAGAGAGACGAATACGGGGAGGAAGTTCAGGATTTAGGAACGTGCGCGCCAGTTTGAGTCGGAGTCGGAGTAGGGGAGGGCAGTCCGGCGCTTTAGGCTCACGTTCTTCCACTGTTGCATGACCTATTTGAAGCCCATGATTTAGGTGATTTTGTTGACCTTATCGGCGGAAACCAATCACTTCACCCCGCATCTTCTCGGCGAATTTGTGTGTGGTGAGTGAGATGCTAGAGAGAGAAAAAGATAAAAGAGAGAGGAAGGAAAATGCCAACTAAATTGCCATGAGTCTATCCACGTAGACTCCGTCTAACTAATTGGCCAAATACTTCGGCTAAAATATCATTTTTCTTAATACTATTCAACAGAGATTCGGTGTCACGTCAAGTTTGCAATGCCCAAACAACCCCCATCTTCTTCATCTACATGAGATTGCATCGTGTTCAGCCCCAATTTGATGTCACCACGGAGAGCATTTTATTAGCCTATTAGGGTTGATTGTTCATTGCAATTTTCTTTCTTAGTTTAATTACTATTTATCTTTTTGTAACTTCAAGGTCACTGTATAACAATTTTTTTATAAAAAAAAAAATATTAGTCACTAAAATATTAGTTTAATTTCTATTTACCATTGAAAAAATTTAAAATAGTTCTGTGTGTAACATTTGCCTATGATGTTCCAGAAGAAGGCAACATTTGCTTTTGGTTTGTTTGCAAATGTAATAATGTATGTGCTTGATATGTACATATATGTTAGATCATTTTATATATACACATGCATATTGGTATATAAACATGTACATATGTACGATAAAAGGTTAGTGCTTTTGAGCCCTATAAAGTAAGACATTTTAATTTAGTTATCTGGATCCTCTGTAGACATTTTAATTTAGTTATCTGGATCCTCTGTAAATTTGAAAAAAGATCCAATATATAAAAAGTATATGAGCCATCCTGCACAAGTCTGAATGGATATTTTATTGGTAAGGTCCATCATAGAAAGAGGTTGGGATGGGGAACTAATTTCCAAATTCCATTACCAATATCGTCACGTTGTTACCAATAAATTAGATATTTTTTTACGTTTAAAAAAAAAAAAAAATCATTGTCCAATTCAAAAAAGTACAATAACAAATTGAAGATTTGATACATGTTCAAGGTTTGGATGGACGTCTAGCCGAGGGCTAAAATAGAGGTGTTTATGTTTGAGTGAATGAGTTAATTTACATAATAATATAATTTGATATTTTAAAATAAGTGTTTTGATAGTATTTTAGACCTCAATAATAATTCTCAATATAGATGTAATTATTTTTCTTAATTTAACCAAAATAAAAAATAAATTAATTTGGTATTTAGAGCTCCCAAGTGTAATAAGTGTTCTTATATTTTATTTTTTAGCTCAATAATTTCTATTAGACCTACCAAAAATAAATTCAAATTATAACTATATTTTTTTTTAGAAAGATAAAATTAATATTAAGAAGGATTGTACAATCTAGAAGTTAGCCCAATGCTAACACAATAGAGTTTTACAAACACAGCCCAGAGGCACAAAGCGAAACTAACAACATTGCATCCATATGGAGCAGCCCAACAATAGAACTGTGTGACTTAGATCAGTACCACAATCTGGTAATCAGGGAGGTAAAATCCAGCATTTACAAAGAGTTTCAGCAATTCAAGTCAGGTGGTTTTGCAGGTGGACGAATCACTGCTTCAGGAATATTCCATTCCAAGGCAATTCTGGAGGAGTGTAGTGAGCCTGTGATTGTAGAGGTAAAAAGCTTTGCTCGAATTGTCTCCAAGAATTGATGAAGTATTGAATTAGCACTGAGTGATCTCT